TTCAATTCGTGACTAGTTGACTGCCGAAGCTTACGTCCACCCAACGGCGCAGGCGTCGCCACAACAGCGTCGCTCTCACTGAGCTTCCTTCGTCCGATCGGCGGTGTGCAGTTCGCGACGCCCGCGCGTTATGGCCTGTCTTCAGCTAATGATAGACAAACTTCATAGCGTTCTTACGTGGTCACCAACTCTTTGAGTGTGCGACGCGTTTGTCCTTCCACTCTGGTGTGTGCCAGATACTAATACGGATGGTATGCGACATCATTGGAAGACTTGATCATACATCTCCCAGAACGCCCGGAATTTCGAGAAGTCGTCACTTCTACTTGATGCCGACGGACCACGTCTCCACGGCGGCATCGAAAGATCACCGACGAGGGTGCTTCTCGCACACTTCTACAGTCAGCTTTCGCATGCTGTCCGCCCGCCCGTGGTGATTGGTCTTTTCCATTGAAGGGCACATCCCGGATGTGCTATCATTACGGCCGTTATCAAAATGATAGGCCTGTTTGTCAAAAGGTCACACACAGGACTTTCCAACTCAAACCAGACTCCGCCCTTACCGACTCGACGCGGACGGCGCTTCTCACGCGAAGGGTCGCGAGGACTCGCTATTCACGGGTAAGTGTCGCGTTGTGACTCCGCACGAATTCCTCTGTGATTTTTTTTCGAATAGGCCTGTCGATTTGATAACGGCTGTAATTTCGCTGTCCGCCACGCTTTCCTGCACATTCTGTACCAGAGTTGCGTGGGTCTCGGGGGCGCCTGATGACGGGCTAGCATTACGCAGATTACTTGTTACGTTTTGTCAGCACAACATCGGCATATGCGGGCAAGGAGAAGCTCGCTCGCCTACGACGCCCGGGTAGTCTGGCGGGGTATAAGGGAAGACGCAAGGCGGTGGGAAGTGCCTCACAACTTCCCCGGACGACCGACCCCCCAGCATGACCATCACTACATCCAAGCACGTCGTTGCCAGCTGCATCCTCGGCTGGGGTCAGTCCGTCGATCGTCTGCTCAATGCATTGCGGAGCCTCGGCTAACTCGTGCGGTACAGGTCATGCACGCCCCATGATCACCTTGGCCGCGCGACTCGTCCAGCTCGACCCGGACGTGCGCGTCACGGTTCTCGTCAATACCGCGCACTTCGACCGGCTGGTGAAGGAGTCGACGCGCAGCTTCGGAGAAGCCGATGCTCAAGCCGCGCAACGCCTGAGGTCAGATCCACCGACAATTCTTCCTACGGCTCGGTACGTGAGGCTAACGCTCGGTCGACCCATAGGATCGTGTGTGTTGGGCAGGCTAACAACACGCTGGGAGACGGCCTTATCGGGCCTTTCTGGAAGACACTGCTTGCCGGGGAGGGTCCTGTATGTGCGCACACCGGCATTCAGCACAGCGCCTGGCCGAAGCCGAACGCGGTCGTGCTTGACGTGAGACGCCCCTTATCCATTCAAATATGAAAGGCTCATTTCCCTTGGAATGCGTTAAGATCTTCGTTATTGAGGACACCAAGACCGTTCGGTCCATCAGCGGCTCCAGCGTGAAGGTGTATTCGTGGTGGCCTGGTGAAACGTACACCTTGTTGCATTTGTTCGGAGACAAGAAGATCGGAGGTCGCGGGAACATCCACCAGATGATAGAAGAGGAAGTAAACAGATCTGGTCGCTCCTACAATGAGGTGGCGATGGAGGTATGACGCCGGTCTTGCATCTTGGACAACGGTTGTTTAACTGACGTGCCGCCACTCAGATGATCAACATGCCGAGAGGGGAGGTGGTGGAGCTCCCAGGGCATCCCCCAATGTACGACTGGGAGCACAGTCCTCAGGATGTAAGACGCGGTTTCCTCGTCTCGGGTTTCATGGTTTCTGAATGTGACATTTGCAGTTCCACGTTCCCGACGACGTCACGCTCTCCGTATTCCCCTTCGTGAACGCGTCAGTTCAAGGACAGTTTTGCTTGTTGAATACGCTGGACTCACATTGTAATATTCAGTTCTCAAGCAACAGTCGACGGGGTCATCTCGATCTCCTTCGAGTCCTGGGAGCCCGAAGCGTTCAAGCTCGCGAGGCAGTGGCTCGGTGAAACGGGTCGTCCCGTTTACATTGCCGGACCGCTGCTCCCCACCGCGTCTAAGGCGACTGCAGCGGCAAACGAGAAGTCGCAGTCGACGGAGGGTGCGGCGATCCAGCAGCTCCTGGACGACACGCTTGCGCGTTCGGGACCGCAATCCTTGCTCTATGTGAGCCCCTAATCTGGTTCCGTCCTCCTCGTCTCACTGACGATATGCACGAACAGATCTCATTCGGATCGATGTTCTGGCCCGTTGGCTCCCCCGAGAAGGTCTGGGCGTTCCTAGACGTTGTGATGGAGAAGGACATCCCGTTCGTCAGTCTTTTATGTGCTCGCGGTCGACGTTCACCTACTGACGCACCGCGTAGATCATGAGCCACGCTTCTCCCATGGCCGTCGTCCCCGACGAGGTGAAGACGAAGGTACAGGCGTACGGCAAGGGCATCTTGTCGCCGTGGGCACCACAGCAAACCATCCTCGACCACCCGGTATGTGTCAGATGTCTTCTGCCTGCTCCACTCCTCACCCACACCCTCGCAGGCGACCGGTTGGTACGTCGGTCATGGAGGCCAGAACGGGCTGACGGAAGCCATCGCCGCAGGCGTGCCAATGTACGTCCCCGCATTATGCTCGTTCGGATGCGCATCTCATAATGTCACAGGATAATGTGGCCCTTCAACGCCGACCAGCCGTCGAACACCGTCTTGGCCACCGACGTCCACAAGATCGGCTACGAGCTCCTCGAGGTCCGCACCGGCCACGGCCTCAAGAAGATCTACCGCACGGGCTACACTCCGGTCGGCACCGTCGAAGCTGTCAGGGCTGAGGCGCGTCGGGTTCTCACACAGGCCTTCGGAGAGGACGGGAAGGAGAAGCGAGCGCGGCTCCCGGCGATCAGGGAGGCGTTGCTTGGGGAGTGGAAGGAGGACGGGCGGTCGCGGCGGGATGTGCTCGCGTTCTTGGAGAGCCTGTAGAGAGTGAGGACGTCGACGGCCCATGATGCGGTGCCGGATGAGATCACAGAACTGCCTAGATGTTAGATGTTTGTAGATGCTCGGTTTCACTTTGGATCCACTGGGAGGGACCTCGGAACTGAGGCCCCACTTGTGCGTCGTGAGTAGAGGTGCGCGCACTGACGAACACAGGATCGTCCCGCTTGGAGTGAGCGACGTCGACTCGTTCCTCATGAAGCGCGAGAAGTACGCGTCCGACAAGCCCCACGAGCAGCAGGGTGACTAGTTGAGGACATCAACAGTAGAACATTTCAAAGCCACCAACATGCATAGTATCTCTCACGCCGAACTCATGGATTCCGCAGCCATCAAAACCTACGACGTAGGTGTATGTAGAGTAGATGCCTACTTGACAATACGAGATGCCTCGCCACGTTGACGGTGGACTCCTGGCAAGCGTCGATGCTGGGACTCGTCGGTCAAAAATAAGTGCGGCCTATGATGGCGAAGTTCACGGTCCCGTCTACTAACGCCTCGAGCGGTGCCCTGGTCTCTGGTTCGAGACCCGGAAGCTCCCGTAACGGCGCGAGGCGTTCCCACTCGCCCATCATCAGTCCGCCATCCAGGACGTCGCCTGCCCCACCCAAGACGTCGCCCGGCGTTTCCGACCATCCTAGGTGCTGGAGACGCGTTCCCCGGGTCGACCGGAGCTTGAGGACCTTCATGAGGAGCGAGAGGTCGGCCACGACCTCGGCGACCCATTCCGCTTGAGTGGGCTTCCTGCGCCCTTGCCGCGCCGCGGGAACCGTGTCGTGCTCGAAGACAATGTCGAGGCGCGCGAGGGAGGGCGAGACGACCGAGTCCGGTTGCGTGTCGCTGTCGGCGGTCGAGAGCGCGTCGAGGAACTGGTTCGACGCGGTGCCGGAAAATCGGAGCTTCGTGAGCTCCGGGAACGCCCTGAAGAAGACGGGGTCGACACGGTCTCGCCGCGGTGTAGGGTCGCGGCCAAGATGCAAGTCCGTGATGGCCGCGAAGGGGCGGAAGAGGGCGACGAAGTCGGCGGTGGCGGGATGGTCACTAAGAAGCATTTTCACGACTTGAGTGCGTCCAGACCAGAGGCCGAGGATGGCGCCCGTTGAACGGATTTCCATGCGGTCCGCGCTCGGAGGTCGGCCGGATTGACGGGGAGGAAGTCTGATATTCCGAATGGGGTCCGGTAGAATTCAGTCGTTTCGACAGAGAGCTTCTTGCAGCCAGGGATCGCGCGTGTCTTGAACGCGGCGCGGAGTAAATGTGGAGCATCGGAAACGGATAGTTGATCGACGGAAGGGAGGACCGGACCAGGCCAGTTCGTGGGAAGTTGCTCGTTCTCGGGGAGCACTCCGTTGAGCACAAGCCGGTCGATGGCGTGGCACCTCGCTAGCGCACTGCGAAGTTCGGTAAACACTCGCAGAGTGGGACACGGCAAGCTGAGTTCGATGGATCGCAGGGACGGCACTGCCAGGGCCGGAAACCACCATGAAACGCATTGGACGCTTCGGAGGCGAGGAAGTGAAGAAGAGTCGATGAGAGGGGTGTAAGTGTTGTGGATCACGTTTGCCCAATAGCCGCTTCCTTTGTAGCTAGCGGCCACGACACAAGCAAGGCGACAAAGGGCAGGCATCCCGTCCTTTAGGATGTAGTGCAGCTCCTCGAAGACCTCTTCGCTCGTGATCTTGATCATCATGCTGGAGATTCTGGAGGCGTGACGCGGGAGGGTGATGCTTAGAAAATCCCGGGGAAAGCTCAAGATGTGGAGACGAAGACGGCGCGGGGCGGAAAGCTTGAGGGCGAACAGGAAGTACTCGTATTCCTGACGTCTCCTTTTCTTTTCCTCCGAGGATGCCTGGCTTTCATCATCATCGTCATCGCTTCCAGACCCGCCTTCGTCCTCGTCTTCGTCTTCGTCATTGACACCAATTTCACCCATGTGAAACGTCCCGATGTTAAGCGCGTTGGCCCAGATCTCGGAGCATCCCAGCGCAACCTCACGCCAGCGCCGACAGACGCGCAAGAGCCGCAGTGCCATGCGTTCTGATGTCCATCCATGTGGGACGGTTGCGAAGGCGAAGATGAGGGAGAGAAGCTCGGTAGGGAGGGTGCCACCGAGCACGGTGGCGTTGTGCATACTGCGGTAGACGAGCACAAGATGTTCGTATTCTTCCACCTTAAGGAGTGTCCAAGTGCCTACTTCGGCTTTCGTGTTCAGCTTGCGGAGATCTTCTCGGTCGGCCGCAGGAAGTGTGGCTCCCAGCTGGTGCGCGTCGATGATGTCCTTCGTGCCAGGACGATCTTTCGTGTCGAATGGAAGCTGAGGGGAATCTGTGACCATAACTGTTTGCCTGAGAGCCGATTTCAGCATCGCAGAACAGAAAGCTTGCGCAAGATACGTACCGTTTGTTTTGGGGTGCGTCGACGTGGCTGGAAGCAACCGGCAACGGCTGGCGTCGGTAGCGGCACAACCGGTACTTACATAGTATGTATCACGTGGTCGTTCAGCTGGCATCCGGACGTAATACATAGAGCTGTTTGGAAATGCACTGTAAGTAGTGCACGAACTTGACGCCACTTCGGTGTCTCCACCGCTCCACGGCATAATTATCGGCCTGCTGGCCAAACACCTGCCGGACAGGGACATGGAGCAAGGACACCAACACTCCAACTCACGATTACCACGGTGCACTATCGGGCGGTCCGCAAATGACTGTTCAAATTCCGCACTATGACAAAACACATCCGCTTGACATCAAGACATCCGCTACAGTAAATCAACACGTACAACGAAGTCCATAGTACACGACCCCCTCACGCCCCAGTGCCTCATCACGTCGAGGTGAAATTGCAGTTCGTGGTGTCGACCTGCACCGCGCTCGCGTTCACCCGGCCGAGGAACGTCGCCTGGTTGTGCGTGAGGGCGTTCATCGCCTCGAGCGCGATGTTGAACCCGCCCGAGGCGGTGTCGATCGCGAGCACACTGATGGTCGTGCCCTTGAAAGTGAGGTTCCAGCATGTGCCGCAGTTCGCGGACCCGAAGCCGCTGACGGCGAACGCGCCACCGATGTTCGGGAAGCCGGGGAGCTGGCCAAAGGTGTTGAAGCCTGGGTGCGCGATGCACTCAGCAACGGACGGCAACGCAGGGAGATGGAAGAAGGCGGTGGAGAGACGCGCACCCTGGCTCTCCAGCCCGTTGGGTCCATTCGAGCACGCGACGGTGTCGAGCGACGTCGTGTTCACGTCGTAGGTCTGGTCGAAGGAGACAGAGACCGTGGTGGGCCCGGCCCGGGGTGCTGAAGGCAACGCGAGCGCGGCAGAGATGGCGAGGAGCGCAGCGGCGACGGCGGAGACCTTCATGTCTGGGTCGTTGGTTCCGGAGCGACCGAGGGCTAGAGGAGTCTCCGGGGCTGGGGCTGGAGGACCCCCAGGGGTGGGGCCTGCGCGTTATATACTTGTCCGAGGCACTCTAAGGGACCGGAAGAGAAGCGTCCAGAGCAGCAGAAGCCATCGTTGGAGTAGAACACGGTGAGAGACGTCGAGGAAGAGCAGCGGGCAAGTCACGCTGCTTCCATCTTGTCAGGTGCGCGTGGCGCTCTCGGTGGCTCTGTTTAGGCCAGAAGCAAAGCGTGCGCATCGTTGCGGCGTCGTCTCGCCGCGAGAGCATCCATTGGCAGACAAGGGCGGAGAGAAGCGTGCGCAGATGACCGTCATGGGAGTGCGGCGGGGGGCGGGACGACGTGGGGAGGCCGGATGGGGGTGTTCGCATTGCGCCGAGGCGCGCCCGGGAAGGCTTGTTGAGTGCGACAGATGCCGTACGGGGGAACGTTGCTGCTTCCCAGCACGAGGAGAGGCGGGAATAAAGCGTCGAGGGTAGGCTCAGAGCAAGATCTTTGATTGAAATTGTTGATAAATGCCGTCGAACCGCATGCTTCCCTAGCGGAGACGGTGCAGGAACAACGGGAGTCCTTGGGCGGGATGGGAGGGCGGAGATGATGGTGGTGGGAGAGAGCAAAGTGGGAGACGCTCCCGGGCTGGGTGGCGGCAGGCGTCGGGGTTATCAGATAAGATCCGCAAGGCGTCATCATTTCGATCATCTTCAGCTGCTGTAGCGGCGAAGCGTCCGCGTCAATCCTTTCCTCTCTCTCTCATCTTCGTTCCCGTTCCCCGCATTCCTCACCTACCACAAGCACAAAATGGCGCCAAAGGGGGGAAACTCGAAGAAGGAGGCAGGGCGGGCCAAGAAAGCAGACAACGAGGTCAAGAAAGCCACAGCAGCAGATGCAGAAAGGGTGCGTACGCGCCCCCGCCTCCCAGTAGTCTTGCGTCGATCTCAACACCCTATGTCATCTCGCGCAACCGTAGGAGCGCAAGGAGGCAGACCAGTGGGCCCAGGGATCGAAGTCCAACAAGGCCAAGGACGACAAGGAAGAGAAACGCAAGGCCGAACTGGCGCGCAAAGCCGAGCTCGCCCGCTTGCTCGCAGAAGAAGAGGCCTCCGCGCCCTCCAAGGTCAAGGCTGCGCCCAAGGCTGGAACGAAGAAGGCCGTTGCTGCGAAGAAGGACGTCAAACCTGCGGGGCCGGGCGCGATTGCTGCTGGCGGTGGCCTCGAAGCCGTGTCCGACGATGCGCCGAAGGAGCTGGAGTCATACACAGCGACCGGCATCGACAACGCACTGGATCTGCTGGAAGTCGTGACCGCGAAGATGGACAAGGCGAGCGTGGGCTCGCGGGCGGCGGATATCGAGAGGCATCCAGAAGTGAGTGCTAATCTGACTACATGCGCTAGACTCGGGGCTCCGAGGCTGATTGTGGGCGTCACATTGCAGAGGCGATTTAAGGCCGCATTTGAGGCGTACAAGGAGAGGGAGCTTCCCAACGCTCGTGCGGATGTGAGTCTTACCTTGTGTCATCTTCCTTCCGGAAGATCAATTAACGGCTTCTCTGACTCGTGCAGCATCCCGGGTTGCGTCTGCAACAATACCACGTTTGTCCCACTTGACACATATGCAAGGGGTCGCTGATTAACTGAATTATCCCGCACAGGACTTGTTGTACAAGCAGTTCCAGAAGTCACCTGAGAACCCGTACGTTCGCTCGCACTGCCTGAGTATGGCTTGCACCGTGCGCTTGTTTCTGACTTGGTATGCAGCTTCAACCAGACGACAGTGTCGTATGATGCCTCAAAGGAAGAGCGGGTTGAGGCGCTGTCAAAGAAGGCCGCAGGGATCTCCGACAGGCTGAAGGAGAAGTAGGCACGAAATACGGTATGCGACGCAGCATAGGTGAGTCGGGGTGCGTTCTTCGTTGGAATGCTGAACAACAGCTATTGTACAGTGAACCACCAGTGTCTGATCACGCACGGAGTTAGTCACGTCCACCCATAAGACACGGCCAGATGTACTCGTAATCTGCAAAATGTATCGATGCCCATTTGTATTCTAATTTGCCGCAAACTCGCGATCCGACTTTGACATCCGTTCGATAACGTGAGCTCGTTATTTTCCGGCTCTCATGATCGCACCCGGGTTAATCTTGCAACGGGTGTTTGCCTGCCGGGTATCGAGGAAAGTCATTGCCAATTGAGTACAGCTGTCAACTGTACGGCCACGTGATACATACTGCCGGCTGCGGCGCTACTGGCGGCAACCGATGCCAGACTCCAGTCGTCTCCAGCCACGTCGACGTGCGTAGACCACTCGCCCTAAAACAAACGGTGCGTATTGTGCATAAGCTTACCGGTCTGTGATACTGAAACCAGCTCTCAGGCAAACCCGTCATGTCGACAGACTCCCTTCAGCTTCTACTCGACGCAAAAGATCGTCCTGGCACGAACATCGACATCGACGCGCACCAGCTGGGAGTCACGCTTCCTGCGGCCGACCGAGAAGATCTCCGCAAGCTGAACACGAAATCCGAAGTGCGCACATGGACACTCCGCAAAGCAGAAGAACACGAACGGCTTTTGCTTGTCTATCGCAGCATGCACAACACCACCGTCATCCTCAGTAGCACCTTCCCCACCGAGCTCCTCTCCCTCATCTTCGCCTTCGCAGCTGCCACAGATGAATTGGGAACGGAAGGTCGTATAGCGCTGCGACTCTTGCGCGTCTGTCGGCGCTGGCGCGAGGTTGCGCTGGGATGCTCCGAGATCTGGGCCAACGCGCTTGACACTGGGATGTTTCACATGGGCGAAATCGGTGTCAACAACGCGGACACCGACGATGAAGATGACACAGACGACGACGACGAAGACGGAGACGAAGACGAAGACGATAAAAACCAGGCAACTCGGGAAGAAATGAAGTGGAGACGTCAAGAATACGAGTACTTCCTCTTCGCCCTCAAGCTTTCCGCCCCGCGCCAGCTTGGTTTCCACATCTCGAGCTTTCCCCAGCATTTCCTGAGCACCACCCTCCCACAGAACGCTTCCAGAATCTCCAGTATGACGATCAAGATCACGAGCAAAGAAGTCTTCGAGCAGCTGTACTATATCCTAAAGAACGGGATGCCTGTCCTGTGCGACCTTGCTTGCCCCGTGGTTGCTAAGGGGAGCCGCCTTTGGACAACCCTGCTCCACAACACTTACACCTCTCCTATCGACTCTACTTCCCTTCCTCGCCTCCAAGGCGTCCGAACCGCCGCATCGTTGTTTCCGGCCCTGGTAGTGCCGTCCCTGCGAGACATCGAACTCAACTTGCGGTGTCACGATCTCCGAGTGTTCACCGCACTTCGCGGTGCGCTAGCTAGGTGCTATGCGATCGACCGGCTTGTGCTCAACAGAGTGTTGCCCCAGTATGAGCAACTTCCGACGAACTGGCCTGGTCCTCCCCTCCCCTCCGTCGATGAACTCGCCGTTCGCGATGATCCACATTTAGTCTGCGCGGCGTTCAAGACGCGGGCGATCCCTGGTTGCAAGAAGCTCCTCGTCCACACGACTGTGTTCTCCAGGACCCCCTTCGGCATATCAGACCTCCTCCCCGTTGATCCGGCCGACCTGCGAGCGATCCTCGCGACGGCGGACCGCATGGATATCCTTTACTCGGGAATCTTCCCGGGCCTCTGGTCTGGACGCACTCAAGTCGTGGAGATGCGTCTTGGTGCCTATCCCGTCTTCACCGCCGATTTCGTCTCCCTCCTCCGCCCCTTCGCGGCCATCACGGACCTGCATCTCGGCGACTGGCAACTGGGGTCAGAGCCCGTCCACCCGGTCTTCTTCAGGGCGTTCCCGAAGCTCACGACGCTCCGCATTTCCGGCCCTGCTTCGAACCAGTTCCTCGTCGCGCTCTCGGCAGACGACAGCGACACGCAACCCGACTCGGTCGTGTCGCCCTCCCTCTCCCGCCTTGACATCATCTTCGGGCACCACACAGCCCTCGCCGCGGGGCAGGAGCTCAGGAACCCCATCCAAGCGGAATGGGTCGCCAAGATCATGGCCGACTTCTCGCTCCTCGTGAAGGTCCTCGAGCTTCGCTCAACGCGGGGAACACGTCTCCAACACCTGGGGTGGTCGGAGAAGCTAGGCAGTGTTGTGGACGAACACGTTCTGGATATATGCCTCTCGCCGTTGCGAGAGCTTCCAGGTCTCGCACCCGAGGCCACGGCGCCACTCGAGGCGCTAGTAGACGGGACCGTGAACATCGGCGACGTACGTAGCACTCATGTGTGACCTACGAGCACGGTTGTTTCGCGTCGTCAACGCTTGGGAGTCAACCGCTAACGCAGTGGCAAGGCGTCTAGCATTGTCAAGTAATACCCATCTACATCCATCTATGTCGTCGCTTTTGATGTGTGCGGGGTCTGTGAGAGCAGCGGCAAGATACTCGTGTCGGTGATCGTATGTACCTTCTCAGGGTGCGGTGGATGCGGACATGGCCCCGCTGCGGCGTTGCGGCGCGTGCTGAGCATCCGTTCACACTGCAGTGAGTGAGATGGTACAGTATCGTTTGATAGTGCGCGATCTGAACGGGTCGTTTTCGTGCTGCCCCCATTGCGTACCTTGAAACCGGAAGCTCTGAAGGGACAGCCAAGTATATTCGCAACCTGGCAGTGTCAGAGGGAAGTCCGAGTCATTGCCGATTACGACTGCACGACCGCGTGATATTGACAGTGACGGCGCGACCGCCCGGCGCCAGCTGCCCGTCGCGGCTCGCCTCCAGCGCTCACGTACATAGACCACCGTTCACCCCAAAACAAACGGTGCGTATTGTGCACAAGCTTGCCGGTCTGTGATGCTGAACACGGCTCTCAGGTAAACACGTCATGATCACGAATTCCCCTCAGCTTCCACTCGACGCGAAAGATCGTCCTGGCACGAACATCGACATCGACGCGCACCAGCTGGGAGTCACGCTTCCTGCGGCCGACCGAGAAGATCTCCGCAAGCTGAACACGAAAGCCGAAGTGCGCACATGGACACTCCTCAAGGCGGAAGAACACGAACGGCTTGCGCTCGTCTACCGCAGCATGCACAACACCACCGTCACCCTCAGTAACACCTTCCCTGCCGAGCTCCTATCCCTCATCTTCGCCTTCGCAACCGCCCCAGATGGATCGACTCCGTCGGATCGCATGGCACTGCGGCTGTTGCGCATTTGTCGCTGCTGGCGCGAGGTTGCGCTGGGATGCTCCGAGATCTGGGCCAACGCGCTTGACACTGGGACGTTTCACATGGGCGAAATCGGTGTTAACAACGCGGACACCGACGATGACGATGACGACGACGATGATGACGACGACGAAGTCGGTTTTGCAGACGGCGGCTTCGGAGATGGCGGCTTCGGAGATGGCGGCTTCGGAGATGATGACGATGAAGATAAAAGCCAGGCATTCTCGGAAGAAAAGAAGTGGAGACGTCAGGAGTATGAGTACTTCCTCTTCGCCCTCAAGCTTTCCACCCCGCGCCAGCTTGGTTTCCACATCTCGAGCTTTCCCCAGCATTTTCTGAGCACCACCCTCCCACAGAACGCTTCCAGAATCTCCAGAATGACAATCAAGATCACGAGCGAAGACGTCTTCGAGCAGCTGTACTACGCCCTCAAGAGCGGGATGCCTGTCCTATGTGACCTTGCTTGCCCCGTGGTTGCTAAGGGCAACCGCTCGTGGACAACCCTTATCCACAACACTTACACCTCTCCTATCGGCTCTACTTCCCTTCCTCGCCTCCGAAGCGTCCAAACCGCCGCATCGTTGTTTCCGGCTCTGGCAGTGCCGTCCCTGCGATCCATCGAACTCAACTTGCGGTGTCCCACCCTACGAGTGTTCGCAGAGCTTCGAAGTGCGTTGGCTGCGTGCCACGCGATCGACCGGCTTGTGCTCGACAGAGTGCTCCCCCGAAATGCGCAACTTCCCACGAACTGGCCTGGCCCGGCCCTCCCCTCCGTCGACGAACTCGTCGTTTACGATCTTCCACATTTAGTCTGCGCGGCGTTCAAGACACGCGCGACCCCTGGCTGCAAGAGGCTCTTCGTCCAAACGACTGCGTCCTCCAGGATCCCCTTCGGAATATCTGACTTCCTCCCCGTTGATCCGGTCGACCTCCAAGCGATCCTCGCGACGGCGAACCGCATGGAAATCCTTTTCTCGGGGACCACCCTGTACTTCCGGTCTGGAGACACTCAAGTCGTGGAGATGAACCTTCATGACCGCCCCATATTCACCGCCGATTTCGTTTCTTCCTTCCGCCCCTTCACGGCCATCACAGACTTGCTTCTTGCCGAGTGCCGACCGGGGCCAGAGCATTTCCACCCGGTCTTCTTCAGGACGTTCCCGGAGCTCACGACTCTTCGCATTTCCGGCGCCGCTTCCAACCAGTTCCTCGAAGCGCTCTCGGTCGCTGACAGCGACGCGCAACCTGACTCCGTCGTCTCGCCCTCCCTCGCCCGCCTCGACATCGTCTTCGAAAATCGTGCGATCCCCGCAGCGCAACATGCGCGCAGGAAACCCTCTCAACCGGAATGGGTCGCCGAGATCATGGCCGATTTCTCGCTCCTCCTGAAGGTCCTCGAGCTTCGATCGACGCGGGGAACGTGTCTTCAGCACCTGGGGTGCTCGGAGAGGCTGGGCGGCGTCTTGAATGGTGGGCTGGGGGTAGGCGATTGGGAAAAAATGCTCATGCGGTTCCGGGAGCTTCTGGGTCTCGCACCAGAGACCGCGACACCACTCGAGGCACTAGTAGGAGGGACCGTGAACTTCGGCACCATAGACAGTGCTCCGTTTTGACCGAACAGCACGTTTGTTTTGCGTCGTCAACGCTTGGGAGTCAAATATTAACGTGGCGAGATGCCTCGCTTTGTCAAGTAGCCATTTACGTACATCTACTTCGTCGGTTTTGATGTCTGCGGGATCAGTGAGAGCGGCGGCAAGACACTCATGTCGGTAGCTGCGAAATGTTCCATCATCGTACAGTTGACAGCCCGACCACTACAGCTCCAAGAACTTGAGCATGTATATCTTCATCCCAGGGCGGGGGGGAAGTGGATGCAGACGTAGCGCCTCGCTGTAGCGATGCGCGCGCTGGGCGTCCTCGCGTCCGTGAATGAGAAACGAGTCAACGTCGCTCATCCCAAGCGGGACGATGGTGTTCGCCAGTGCGCGCGCCTTTACTCATGACGCGTAACTGGGGCCTCAGTTCCGAGGTCCCTCCTGGATCCAAGGTGAAACCGAGCATCTAAAAACATCTACGTCGTACCATGTAACATCTAGCCAGTTATGCGATCTCATCCGGCACCGCATCATGGGCCGTCGACGTCCTCGCTCTCTACAGGCTCTCCAAGAACGCGAGCACATCCCGCCGCGACCGCCCGTCCTCCTTCCACTCCCCAAGCAACGCCTCCCTGATCGCCGGGAGCCGTGCGCGCTTCTCCTTCCCGTCCTCTCCGAAGGCCTGTGTGAGAACCCAACGCGCCTCAGCCTTGACAGCATCAACAGTGCCGACCGGAGTGTAGCCCGTGCGGTAGATCTTCTTGAGGCCGTGGCCGGTGCGGACCTCGAGGAGCTCGTAGCCGATCTTGTGGACGTCGGTGGCCAAGACGGTGTTCGACGGCTGGTCGGCGTTGAAGGGCCACATGATCCTGTGATCATGAGATGCGCGTCCGAACGAGAATAATGCGGGGACGTACATTGGCACGCCTGCGGCGATGGCTTCCGTCAGCCCGTTCTGGCCTCCATGACCGACGTACCAACCGGTCGCCTGCGAGGGTGTGTGTGACGATCGGAACAAGTAGAAGACTGGCATCTGACACATACCGGGTGGTCGAGGATGGTTTGCTGTGGTGCCCACGGCGACAAGATGCCCTTGCCGTACGCCTGTACCTTCGTCTTCACCTCGTCGGGCACGACGGCCTTAGGAGATGCGTGGCTCATGATCTATAAAGTACATCAGTAGACGGGAATCGATAGCGAACACCAGCAATTGGATGCTCACGAAGGGGATCTCCATCTCCATCACAACGTCGAGGAACGCCCAAACCTTCTCGGGGGAGCTGACGGGCCAGAACTGGGATCCGAAAGAGACCTGTTCATGTACCCAATTGGTAAGACGTGGGCAACGGAGTAGATGAAGAGCTTACGTAGAGCAAAGACTGCGTTCCGGAACGCGCAAGCGTGTCGTCCAGGAGCTTCTGGATCGACGCACTCTCCGCCGACTGTGTCTTCTCGTTGGCCGCTGCAGTCGCCTTAGACGCGGTGGGGAGCAGTGGTCCGGCAATGTAAACGGGACGACCCGTTTCACCAAACCATCGCCTCGCGAGCTTGAACGCTTCGGGTTCCCAGGACTCGAAGGAGATCGAGATGACCCCGTCAACTGTTGCTTGAGAGCTGAATATCGAAATATAAGTCCGACGCATCCAGCGAGAAATCTGCCCTTGAACTGACGCGTTGGTCCAGGTGGATACGGACAGCACAATGTCTTCGGGGAAATCGAACTGCAAATGTGACGGTGAGAAACTATGAAACCTGAGACGGTGAATATGCGCCCTACATCCTGGGGACTGAGCTCCCAGTCGTACATTGAAGGATGCCCCGGGGGCTCTACCACTTCTCCTCTCGGCACTGCGGCGGTCATCTGAATCATGGCGTGTCAAATCAGATACACATCATCTGGGCGCAGAAGCCAGGCGTCGTACCTCCATTGCCACCTCCTTGTAGGAGCGACCGGACCTACCAACCTCCTCTTGTATCTGCTTATGGACGTCCCCGCGGCCTCCGATGTTCTTGTCTCCGAACAAATGCAACAAGGCGTACGTCGAACCAGACCACCACGAAAACAGCTTCACGGTGGAGCCGCTGATCGAGCGAATGGTCTTGGTGTCCTCAATAGCAAAGATCTTGACGCGACCCCAGAGAAATGAGCCTTTCATATTTGAATGGACTAGGAGCGACTCACATCAAGCACGACCGCGTTCGGTTTCGGCCAGGCACTGTGCCGAATGCTGGTTTGCGCACATACAGGACCCTCCCCGGCAAGCAGTGTCTTCCAGACAGGCCCGATAAGGCCGTCTCCCAGCATATTGTTAGCCGGCCCTACGCACACGACCCTACCGGTAGAACGAACGTTGAGCGTTAGACCGGCATACCAAAGTAAACTGCCGGGAAAGTACTGATGAGTCTGACCTGAGGCGTTGTGCCGCTTGAGCGTCGCTCTCTTCGAAGCTGCGCGTCGACTCCTTCACGAGTCGGTCGAAGTGCCTGGTAGTCACGAGAACTGTGACGCACACGTCCGGGTCGAGCTGGACGAGTCGCGCGGCGAAGGTGATCATGGGGCGGGCGTGTCCTGCACCGCACAAGTTAGCAGAGGCTCCGCGATGAATGGAGCAGACGATCGACGGACTAACCCCAGGCCAGGATGCAGCTGGCAACGACATGCTTGGATGTAGCGGTGGTCATGCTGGAGGGCCAGTTGTCGGGAGAAGTTGTTGGCGTTTCCTACCGCGTCGCGCCGTCCACCCTTATATCTCTCCAGACTACCCGGGCATCGTGTGCGAGCGAGCTTCTCCTTGCCTGCGTATGGCGATGTTGTACTGGGAAAATGTAACAAGCAATATGCGTAATGCAAGCCCCGTCAGCCGACACACCGGGGCCACCATTTGTCTGGGAGCTTTATTGGGAGCCGTTTATAAGGTTTAAAGTCTACGCGCATCCAGAATAAGTATTTCTATGGGTTTCTATGGGCGAGAGAAAACCTTACTTGCCTTTCTCTCGGCTTTAACGCAGCACTAGCCAAGAAAGATGGTCGCCCCGGCGTGTGGTGGTCTCCAAGACCTACGGAATTCTGGCACAGGATGTGCGAGAAAGCGTGGCGGACAGCGCAAATAATGGTAGTACATCCGGGCTGCGCCCTTGGGAAGACCAATGACCGCATGGGGACGGACAGCATGCGAAAGTTGGCTGTGGAGGTGTGTGCGAGAAGCACTCTCTTGCGATGCTGTCGTGGAGACCGGCGTGATCTGACCGCATTACAAGCGATGACTCCTCCGAAATCCGGGCGTCCGACATGAAGATCTATGATAAAGTCTTCAAATCATGTCAACGATGTCGCATGCCATCCCATCAGGAAAAACCCAAATCCCTATTGAGAGGTAATGTATTGGTAAGCCGATATACGCCAAAATACTGCAGCTGTTTCAACTCACCGCAGTTTACAGACGCTTTGTCAAACTATCGCCTTCCTTCCGATCGCTTATGGGGTGGATGATGTATAATTTGACGTGCTTGAGTAGATGTATTGGATATCTGTATATGCAGTTAGCCAATAACGATACACTCGACTGGATCCTGACAGCTAGTAGCGATGGTGTATGAGTTCCCTCGCTGTTCACACATCAGCGCTCAGCAAGCATAGATGGAATTTACAGAAAACTGTCATTGCTTTATGATCTAAGTACTAAGACAGTGTACAGATACCCGAACCTACGATACTGGTTTTTCGGCAGAGGCTCTACAATATGCAAAGAGAACGTACCTGGATGTGCACCCAATCCCGGCATCCCGTCGCCTAACTCTCCACGCACATGCTGCTTGCCTTTTGCGACGAACACGATTGCGGGCGGGGCGCGGTGGCCCGTGGGTAATGAGGCGGGGAAGTTGCAGCCCGACGAGTAGACCTGCTGATGCGGGTTCGGGGCGTAGCTCAGCGAGTCGAGCCGTGCAGTGATCGCGGCGTTGCTCGCGGAGTGCGTGTGGGGCGCGTGTGCGTAGCCCGAGTTGAAGACGACGTGGACATTGGACTATGATGCGTTCGAGCGTGTCGACGTGTTGCCCTTCGGCGCGGGCTGGGAGGAGGGCGAAGAGGGCGGCAAACCAAGGTGGCAGGTGCGCGGCGGACTTGATGAGGAAGGTGATCATGAGCGGGCCCGCGACAAACGCTCCGGGACTTTGTGTCGTCAGGGATAAGGTACCGCGCCTGGGGTGAGCTGGGTGTAAGGTGTTGACCGTGGTGCCATGGCTGACGATTGGGTCGAGACAGAAGCACCCGTCGCGCTCGCCACACATGAGTTGATGACCACGTCGCGCCTGATCTTCACGCCCAGCATCCGGTATTAGATAACCTCGGGGAACGTGGACGTCGTAACCAAACGGCGTCGATGGAGCATGCAGGCCACGTGCTAGACGCGGGGGATGTGGACTCCGACAGACGATGGTGTGAGCTGGCAAAGAGGAGCTCGGGCTGTACGGCGGCGCACCCGCGTGCCTAGGAACGGGACGAGGAATGGGCTTCGGCGGCGAAGTAGCTCCGTTTTGTTAGTGGATGTGGATGTTGGCGCGGACGCGGTGTTGTAGGGGGTGACATGAATTATGGCACGGATAATGGGAGGATGTACGAAGAGACGACAGCCATGGGGAGGCGGAAGGAACGAAGCTAGGAGAGTGATGGCAGTCACAGTCGAAGTGCGGAATATTTAGCGCACGGACTACACGCGCGCTTCTCGTTCTCGAGTGTATCACAGACTCAGTTGAGTCAGTAGCGCCCATGGCAACGCGCGCGGCGCGACGCGCGTCCCCACATGTGCCAGCCTCCTCCACCACCTCCACCTTGTCAAACTCCCCATCTCCTAGCGGCGTTGTTGTTCTCCGCCGCGCACTTCTCAGACCTCCATCCTGCCACCTCACCGGCCATGCCCCAGATCACGTATTTCTTCGCCGCCGCGCGCTGCCGTGGATTCGTCTGGGTTGCGTACGACGTCGACCACGACCACGACAACCTATGAGACGTCAACGACGATGAGACTCGACCGGCTCCTCCCTCAGCTTTTACGGTCCCAATACGTGGACGTCCCTTTGCAACTCAACCCCACCGTCGAGGGCCCATGGTCACTCCTCATCTCTCCGCGGTGACACCGCACGTGAGTCCAGCACATTTGACATCCGGGTTCCGGGTGCACGATCTCACGAACAGGTCGACAACACACATCTACACGGAGCCCAAGATCCCCGATGCTGTCAGCCTGTGCAACTTTGGCATCCAGGTGGTGAGTGTCTCACTCTTATGATCGCATGGACTCGCGGTGCGGGCGAGAGGAGTGACACCAACAACTGGTCGTACTCCTTGAGCCACTTCTCTGCCAGATCGGTCTCGCTTGCGCTATCGTCGACGCCTACCTCCTCGCTCGAGGTTAACACGTCTTGAGCGCGGCGGTTCACCACCTCCCATCCTCCACGTCAGAATCCGCGAGTGCCCCCGCCGCGATTTCCCGCCCGTGCCCCTGCTCACCCGCTGCTCTTCTAGGAACTACATTGTCTCTGTCGGCGAGTGCGCACTTGTACCACCGCGGCGTTTGGAGGGCGCAGCCAGCAGCGCGTGTCCACTTTCGTCTGGCGGCCATTTCGTGCCCACACGGGCAAGACTTGCTCTGGATCGAAGAGCGCAAGGGACGGATCAAGGTGCGACGGTTACGGTGCATCCTTTTGTCGGCTTCCGTCATGATCGAGGATGACGAAGAACACGAGCCGGACGATGCGCACTCGTGTGCGGCGAGCCCGACGATCCTGGACATGGACATCTGTCGCCGGTGAGGTAGCGTACTTTCCTCCTTCCGTTCTCCTTTACTGACCCGTTTTTCCCCGGGCGTGCTCTGAGCCCTCCCTCATCCTTTCCTCCTCCTTCGCTGCCTCGCCTCGGCTTTTCTCTCATCTTCTTTCCTCGCCCGTCGTCCCCCGCGCTCATGCGCACACAATCAGACCCCCGCGCGATACACGTGGGACTGGCGCGCGTACGCGCTCCCTGGTCGTGTCCGCCCCGGAACAGCCTCCTGGTCGTCGTCCAGGTCCCTCCAGCTTGCGGCTGCAGCATGAGTGCCAGCGTCTCGCGCGTACGTCGTCGGCGGGTGCACGGTCGTTGGTACCTGGCGGCATGCGACCGTGAGCAGGCCCAAGGTCCCGCTAGTCGAGGGCATCTTCGTCGTCTCTCGCGGCGATGGCGGGCGTGAGTGCTCGTCTGTGGCTCCCGGCGCAAGCCGCGTGCATATCGCATTCGCGCGCGCGTCCAACTGGTAATCCCTCGCGACGGAGCTCTCAGCAACTGCTGTGCGCTTTTTCGCAGGTCTAGCAGGCCCCGATACCGTTTACACCGCGTCGTCATTGCTCGTTGATAGGTACATCTATGTCGCTGTTGCTAAATACTGGTCTCGTCTGCATCTCAGATATCCAATCAATGTTCATTTTTGCCCCATATGTTATGTGTGATGAGTGCTACTGCTCGATATCCAGTGCTTGAAGCTGTGATTTACGGGCATGAATGAGACTAAGTGCATCTGGTGAGGGCCTGCTCTCGCAACTAAATTTTCCTTCTCCGTGTAATGGTTTCTCATTAGCAGAGGGGTAAGCGAAAAACAATACTTGTGCATAACACCATAATCGAGCTCATTATCCCTCACAAGCCTCAGTAACATCTCATTATGGATTTGGGTTTTTCCTGATGCCGTAATATCAGTATCTGGATGGACCGTAGCACGCACCAGAGCGATGCCGCCGTGGCGACGCCTGCGCCGTTGCGTGGATTCGGAAAGCTTCAGCAGTCAACTGGTCACGAGTCGGCTTTTCCTGTCAACGAGACAGGTGAGTTAGCAATTGGCGGGTGCGGGTATGGACAGCCTGGATGACAAACTGGAAGGAGGTCACGGCAAGAGGCCTCCCTTTATCACCAAGCAAATCCCACGACTACTGTGCAATTTCACTCAATTGGAATTGTCACGGTCACACGCGCACGACCTCCTGCGGAAGTCACAGCACACGCTGGCAATTGAAGGAACCAGTATGAACGGCTGGTTCGAGGCCGAAAACAGCCTACAGAGAGCAGAATCAAGCCCATGTGTGTAAAACTCCGCTTTCTTGGCCCTTAAATTATGATTTTCCTCCACCAGTTTGCAGTTGAGACTCGAATGTCTAGAGATCTAATGTGAATTTTAGACGTCACACGTCACAAGGCCCCGTCTGAAGTTCCAAACCGGTCATTTGCGGCCTGCCCCCACTGCGTCACTTCAGATTCTCCCTTGAAACTGGAAGGTCTGGCCAGTCACATATCAACCCAACCTAGCAGTGTCAGAGGGAAGTCATTGCCGATTACGACTGTGCGACCACGTGATATTGCCGGTGACGGCGCGACCACCCGGCGCCAGCCGTTGCCAGTCACGACGCGTCCAGCGCTCACGTCAACGCACATAGACCACTCACCCCAACACAAACGGTACGCAATGTGCACAAGCTTGTCGGTCCGAGATGCTGAAATCGGCTCTCAGATAAACACGTCATGATCACGGATTCCCCTCAGCTTCCACTGCTCGGTCGTCCCAGCACGAAGGATAACGACGCATACCAGGTCGGAGTCACACTTCCTGAGGCCGACCGAGAAGATCTCCGCAAGCTGAACACAAAAGCCGAAGTGCGCACTTGGACACTCCTAAAGGCGGAAGAACACGAGCGGCTTATGCTCGTCTACCGCAGCATGCACAACGCCACCGTTCTCTGTGGCACCCTCCCTACCGAGCTCCTCTCCCTCATCTTCGTCTTCGCAACCGCCACAACCTGGTTGGGAACGAGAAGTCGCGTGGCACTGCGGCTGTTGTGCGTCTGTCGCCGCTGGCGCGAGGTTGCGCTGGGATGCTCCGAGATCTGGGCCAACACGCTTGACACTGGGACGTTCCACATGGGCGAAATCGGTGTTAACAACGCGGACACCGACGACGAAGGTGAAGACGGATTCGGAAACGAGGAGGATGATGAAAAACAGGCAACCTGGGAAGAGAAGAACGGGAGACGTCAGGAGTATGAATACTTCCTCTTCGCCCTCAAGCTTTCCGCCTCGCGCCAGCTTGCATTACACATCTCGAGCTTTCCCCAGCATTTTCTGAGCGTCACCCTTCCAGAACACACCTCCAGAATCTCCAGAATGACAATCAAGATCACGAGCGAAGACGTCTTCGAGCAGCTGTACCAAATCCTCAAGAGCGGGATGCCTGTCCTATGCGACCTCGCTTGCCCCGTGGTTGCTAGGAGCCACCGCCTTTGGACAAGGCTGATCCACAACACTTACACTTCTCCTATCGACTCGGCTTCCCTTCCTTGCCTCCAAAGCGTCCGAACCGCTGCGCCGTGGTTTCCGGCCCTGGTAGTGCCATCCTTGCGATCCATCGAACTCAGCTTGCGGTGTCCGAATCTACGAGTGTTTGCCGAACTTCGCCGTGCACTAGCTGAGTGCCACACGATAGACCGGCTTGTGCTCAACGGAGTGTTGCCCCAGGATGTGCAACTTCCGACGAACTGGCCTGGTCCGGCCCTCCCCTCCGTCGATCAACTGTCCGTTTCCGATGCTCCAGATTCAATCTGCACCGCATTCAGGACACGGGCGATCCCTGGCTGCAGGACGCTTTTCGTCCAAACGACTGCGTCCTCCAGGACCTCCTTCGGAATATCCGACTTCCTCCCTGTTGATCCGGCCAACCTCCGAGCGCTCCTCGCGAGCGCGGACCACATGGAAATCCTTTACTCGGGGACCTCCCTGGACCTCTGGTCTGGACGCACTCAAGTCGTGGAGATGCAACTTGGCAGCCCTCCCGCCTTCACCGCCGACGCCATCTCCCTCTTCCGCCCTTTCGCAGCCATCACGGACCTGCATCTCGGCGACTGCCATCTGGAGGCAGAGCGTATCCACCCCGCCTTTTTCAGGGCGTTTCCGAAGCTCACGACGCTCCGCGTTTCCGGCTCCGGGTCCAACAAGCTCCTCGACGCGCTGTCGGCCGCCGACAGCGACACGCACCCTGACTCCGTCGTCTCGCCCTCCCTCGTCCGCCTCGACCTCGACTTCGAGCACAACACGGTCCCCGCGGCGAGGCAAGGGCGCAGGAAGCCCACTCAAGCGGAATGGGTCGCCGCGATCATGGCCGACCTCTCGCTCCTCATGAAGGTTCTCGAGCTTCGGTCAACCCGGGGAACGCGTCTCCAGCATCTGCAATGGTCGGAGAGGCTAGGTGACGTCATGGGTGGCGGACTGGGGATACGCGCGTGGGACAAACGTTCCGCGCCGTTGCGGGAGCTTCCAGATCTCGCACCAGAGGCCACGGCGCCGCTCGAGGCGCTAGTAGATGGGACCGTGAATTTCGGCACCATACGCAGCATCGTGTATATGTGACCGACAAGCACAGTTGTTTTACGTCGTCAACGCTCGGGAGTCGGCCGTTAACTTCAAGGCAAGGCGTCTCGCATTGTCAAGCAGCCATCTACATACTTACATATCCACGTCATCGGTTTTGATGGGCCGTCTGCGGGATATGTGAGAGTGGCGGCAAGACACTCATGTCGATGGTCGCGAAACGTTCCATCATCGTACAATTGACAGCCCAACGACTACAGCTCCAAGAACCTGCGCGTGTGTATCTTTATCCAGGACGAGGATGTCGTGGACATAGCCTGCAGCAATGCGCACGCTGAGCGTCCTCACGTCCGATGAGCAACGAGTCAACACCTCGCAACCGAGAGGGACAACTGTGTTTGCCGGTGCGCGCGCCCTTTAGTACTCATGGAGTTCCAAAGTCCGTCCTCCGAAGCAAATCGAATTGGCACCCCGTACCAAGTAGTACGTCGTACCATGAGCCATCTACTAACTAGTTCTGAGCACTGCACCATGAGCCTCCCTCTCTCCCTATAAGCTCTCTAAGAACGCGAGCACATCCCGCCGCGACCGACCGTCCTCCTTCCACTCCCCAAGCATCGCCTCCCTGATCGCTGGGAGCCGTGCACGCTTCTCCTTCCCGTCCTCTCCGAAGGCCTGTGTGAGAACCCGACGCGCCTCAGCCTTGACAGCGTCGACAGTGCCGACCGGAGTGTAGCCCGTGCGGTACACTTTGTTCAAGCCGTGGGCGGTCCGGACCTCGAGCAGCTCGTAGCCGATCTTGTGGACGTCGGTGGCCAAGGCGGTGTTCGACGGCTGGTCGGCGTTGAAGGGCCACATGATCCTACGATATTATAAGATGCGCATCCGGACGAGCACAATTCGAGAACGTACATCGGCACGCTGGCGGCGATGGCTTCCGTCAGCCCGTTTTGGCCCCCGTGACAGACGTACCAACCCGTCGCCTGCAAGGGGACGCGTGAGCAGGCTCAGAAGGGGGGCGGTCTGCGCGGAGACGTACTGGGTGGGAGAGGACCGTCTGTTGTGGTGTCCATGGCGACAAGATTCCTTTCCCGTACTCTTTCACCTTCGCCTTCACCTCGTCCGGTACGACGGCCATGGGAGAGGCGTGGCTCATGATCTATGTGGTGCGTCAGTGTTGAACCTCGACTGCGAACAGTGGGGTTCAAAGACTCACGAAGGGGATGTCCATCTCCATTAAAACGTCGAGGAACGCCCAGACCTTCTCGGGGGAGCCGACGGGCCAAAAAATCGACCCGAAAGACATCTGTTTATGTACCCAATCGGTAAGACGTGGACGACGGGGTAGATGAAGAGCTTACGTAGAGCAAAGACTGCGGTCCCGAACGCGCAAGCGTGTCGTCCAGAAGCTTCTGGATCTCCGCACCCTCCGCCGACTGGGATTTTTCATTGGCCGTCAGGGTCGCCTTAGACGCGGTGGGGAGCAGCGGTCCAGCGATGTAAACGGGGCGACCCGTTTCGCCGAACCATTTCCTCGCGAGCTTGAACGCTTCGGGTTCCCAGGACTCGAAGGAGATCGAGATAATCCCGTCGACTGTTGCTTGAGAGCTGAATATCGAAATGTGAGTCCGCCATATTCAGCAAACAAGACTGCTCTCGAACTGACGCATTCGTGAGGGGGAATATAGAGAGCGCAAATTCGTCCGGAAGGGGGAACTGCAATGCGACTATCAGACTCTGTGAAAACCAAGGCGAGTGAAACCAAGGCGAGTGAAAACCAAGGCGAAGAAGAAGTGTCCTACCTGCTGAGGACTGAGCTCCCAGTCGTACATTGGAGGATGCCCGGGGAGTTCCACTACCTCCCCTCTTGGCACGTTGATCATCTGAGTAGCGGCACGTGAGTTAAACAACCGTTGTCCAAGTATGCAAGACCGACGTCATACCTCCATGCTCACGTCCATGTATGAGCGACCGGATCTGCTCACTTCCTCCTCTATCTGCTGATGGAGGTTCCCGCGACCCCCGATCTTCTTGTCCCCGAACGAGCACAAGAAGGTGTACGTTTCACCAGGCCACCACGAATACACCTTCACGCTGGAGCCGCTGATGGACCGAACGATCTTGGTGTCCTGAACGGCGAAGATCTTGACGCGACCCGGGATGGATCAGCATTCTGGATCTGAACGGACCAGGGGCGACTCACATCAAGCACGACCGCGTTCGGCTTCGGCCAGGCACTGTGCTGAGTCCCAGTTTGCGCGCATACAGGACCCTCCCCGGCAAGCAGGGTCTTCCAGAAAGGCCCGATGCAGCCGTCCCCAAGCGGGTGGTTAGGTTGCCCGACGCACACGATCCTGTGGGTCGGCCAAACGTCAGCGTCGCGTACCGAGTCGTAGGAGGGAGTACTGGTTAATCTGACCTCAGACGTTGCGCCGCTTGAGTGTCGCCCTCTTCGAAGCTGCGCGTCGATTCCTTCACGAGCCGGTCGAAGTGTGCGGCAGTGACGAGAACCGTGACGCGCACGTCCGGGTCGAGCTGGACGAGTCGCGCGGCGAAGGTGATCATGGGGCGGGCGTGTCCTGCACAGCACAGGTTAGCTGAGGCTCAGCACCGAAGCGAGAAGATCGCCAGACTGACCCCAGGCGAGGACGCAGCTGGCGACGACGTGCTTGGATGTGGTGACGGGCATGTGGAGGGCCGGTCGTCCGGGGACGTTGTGAGGCTGTTCCCACTGCCTGGCGTCGAGCCTTATATCCCGCCGGACTGCCCGTGCTCGCGAGTCCGACATCGCATAGAAACGTGGAGGAGTTGTGCCTTTCTGACATCGTGGTGACAGGGCGCATGCTTTGCCGTCGGGGATCACTACTCAACTGTGCGGGAGATCCCAGGATCGTCAGGTAGCCTCCGAGACGCGCCACAACGCCGTGCCCTAGCAACTCCGGAACAGAATCTGTGGGAAGTTTGAACAATGGTAGCGCAGCAGGGCTGCACCCTTGATGAAGACGGCCAACCACCGCGCGCGGCCGGACAGAATGCAAGACGGAGGTGTGTATGTTGTGATACTGTCGAGGAGGAGTCGTGGTTTGTGCGCGATCCATGATCAATTGTGCCTACGTCAACGATGTCACATGTTACCTGAATGGAAGAGGCGCACCAGATCACCCACCGATCATCCGGCCGTTTTCGGTGTCCCTCCTCACGACTGGAAAAACAGTCAGTTGGAAGAAAATCGCGCTGGTTACGGGTGTGGTGTGAGGGCTTGAGGCTACGTCTTGCGAACAGCGCGATGGGACGGAACCTCTAAAGAATTTGGTGAGCGCGTGCGCCGTTGCGTTGGCGGCCATGTCATCGAAGAGCTTCAGCAGTGATGGGTCAGCTTTGCCTGTCGACGGGACAGGTGTGAGAAATTGGCGGATGCAGGGTAGGTACAACCTGATTTACAAATTGGAACGAAATCACGGCAAGAGCAAGGACGAAGGCCAGATAAAGCGCTGGCCATGAATGAATCCCACGGATACCTTGGTAAGTCCCATCACGTCACACTCACTAGCAAAGATCTAGTAGTGTGAGGCATTCAAGAACTATTGTAAAAGCTATACAAGTCGCCATTCCGTCAACCCTGTCCTCTAAGCGTCCTTTGTAGGCACATCAGGAATGCACACACTGCTCCCCGAACAGTCCGCCTCGCGCCGTTCAACAGCTGTGCCTTGCATAGTCTCGATCATCCATCCGTTTTCGTCGTCCCTCCTCAAACACGACGGAAATGGATGGACGACCCGGCCAACCGGTGCCTCTTCAGCAGCTCCCGGGCCCGCCGCTGCGCTCGATCGTCGCGTGTCAGGATTTGGTCCAGGCCGATCACAAACACGGACGACCGCTCAGGCGCTCAGGCGCGGATACACCGCCTCGGGGACCGTGGATGTGCCGTCGCGCAACGCCAACACGTCCTCGGTGCGGCATCCTGGCTCGCCACACCGAACCTCTCTGGCACAGATCAGGCACGCCGCACGTACGCCGCGTCCCCCCTCGCGCGCGGCACCGTCCCCATCCCCCCCTCGTCCCACACCCCCTCGTCCGACTCCAACCCCCAGCCCCCCGCGCCGCGACCCCACCCACTCGAGCGTGCGGAAGGTCTCCGCGGAGACGACGCGGGAAAGGCGACAAGGCGCGCGCAAGTGGGGTTGAACGCACGAAGGAGAGAGTCCGCGGCGGCCCAAGTCAGCGTCGTCAGGGCAGACGAGACCATCAAGCATGGCGTCGGGGCATGAGCCGTCGCGTTGAACACGGAGATCTAGAGAGCGCGCAGAGGAGGCCGCTGGGGTGCGTGGTGCGTGGTGCGTGTGTCGTCGGAGTCGGAGTCGGGAAAGCACCACTGAACGGTCCCGCGTCCGTGTTGCGAGCTGGGTTGCTGCCTTCGCCCACACCAATGTAGAATCGGCGCCGGGGAAAGTGGGGGCGAAGAATATGTGCACGGAGAGGTGGGTGAGGGCGGCGTGCGCGTGGACGAGGGGCTCAGCGACTCGACACGCGCTGTGCAGCCGAAAACGGAAATGATGTGCGCTCCTCGTGGCGCCAGTCTCGCCAGTCTCGCAAATTCGAGGTGTCGAGAACTTGATGGGGGAGGCTAGCTGCGGTGCTGCGATTGGTGGGAGCGGAAGGGTTGAACAACATTCCTACGCACATGCGGAGATGAGGGCGTCGAGCAGGTATAGTTCGCCTTGATGGAGGTGTGTGGGGAGAACGGTTCCTGGGGAACCAGGGGGCCTGTCGTCTTCATCGCACATGCGTGCGTCGGTGTGCTAGCTTGTGTTCGAGGTTCTCAGGCCGGGGAGGTGGGTGGCGTGGTCCACAACTAATTTCTGGGCGTGTCGGGTGCCGTGTGATAGTCGGAGAACTTTGGAGACAAGGCAATCGTAATGCGAAGCAGTCTGCTTAAGGGTAAATCGATCATTCAACTTGAACAGTGAGTCACTCACCGCCGCCGACACGAATATCATGACTCATCGATAACCAAAAAGACAGCATGCGCCCACGGTACGCACACAAACGAATCCTGGGTCCCGAGTGGCAAGTTGAGTGACAGTACGAGCATCGAACCGTGGCGCAGTCATATTCCTGTGCTGATTTTGGGTCCGCCCTGTGGAGGATGAGGTACTGACGCAAGACGGACTGTGGCGACCACGTAGCTGCGGTACACCGCTCGCCAGAATTGGAAAGTAGCACTTTCTCGAAGGCCACCCACCGCCAGCGAGGCTATGTTCCGTGACCGGACATCCTGGAGAGGCTGGGTCGGTAAGGGTCGGTAGCCGTTCGCGGAGAAAAGCAGGAGCGTTGTCCAAGCCTTGTCATCGGAGCAGTGCCTTGGCCCAGCCGCAGCGAACAGGCGCCCGTGGTGCTTATGTCAGCCGGCGCGCATTTTCATAAGACGAGACGCGCCTCTGCCTCCATCGCTACTTCCTTCTCCACCATCCACCACTCCCCTCCCTCCCTCTCATCCACCTCAACACCACGTCACTCCACCATGCCCCACCTCTCCCTCTCCATCCCCGGTTCTCCCCGCTCGCCCTCCTCCCCGCCGTCGCTGACGATGTCCAGTCCGTCGGTGTCGGCACGTACGAACACGCTCGTCGTCACGCGCCTTCCCCCTCATTTCTTCGAACCCATCATCCAGGACGCCCTCCGGAGCCACTTCGAGACCTACGGGCCCCTCCACACATGGGCACCCATCCGCGGTTTCGCGCGGGTGATCATGGTATACTTCTCAGAGGAGGACGCCGAGATCGCAAAGGAGACCAACGACGGGCTTGTCCTCGGCGACATGCAGGACCAGTGCGTCTTTCCCCTCACTATATGCGCGTTCTTCACCAGCTGACAACCCCCATCCTTTCCTCTCGTGCTCCGCCTTCGATCACCGGTCTATCGCAGACCCGACTACCTCATGCGCGTCTACCGCGCGGACCCGACACCCATCGAGTCGGATGAGACGCACGAGCACAACCACTACCTCCGCCCGCCCGTAAATGAGAAGAACTTCCTGATCTCGCCCCCTGGCTCTCCACCCGTCGGCTGGGAGCCGATCCGCGAGGACCCCCCGAACTCCACGCCACTCGCTCACGACCTCATCGCCGCACTCCGCAAGCTCGAGATCGAAGCCGCAGCTGCGGCGCGCGGGCCCGGGCTCGAGGTCCTCCTCGAGCCCGAGGACGGGTCGGGATCAGCGTGTGCGTCGAAGACTGCGACGCGGTGGCGATCGAGGTCGACGGCGACGTGCGGATGGACGGCTGCGATGACTGGGCGTATGGGGACATCGCGCCGTCTAGGGTGCGGAACGCTTGGCGGCCGACGCCGACGTCGATGCCGCCGGTGCCGGTGTCCGCTTGAGTTGTCCCATTGCTATCCACTGTGAGTGTTTGCTCCATTCGCCTCTGGACGTCCAGGACCATCGCCTTTGGACGGTGGTTTGTGCGGGCGTTCGTGTGATGTCAAACATTTCAGACCTGTACCGACTCTACGGAGTCTGAAGATACCTTATATTGCATTTTCTATCTGACTCTTATTCACGGTTCGGCTTCACTGGGTATGCGAACGCTAACACTATGCCTCCTAGATGCCATTGTTGCCATACACACCGCTTCCAGGCCTTTGCGTCTTGGTTTGTAAGTCTCAATTCCTCTCTGTTCCGCCTTCCCTCCCTAGACCGCGCGAGATGAGAGCCTATCAGACCTGTTCTGACCCTTCTGGAGAAAAACCATTGCCAATCGTTCCTTCTGATGCACATATCTTCCTCCCGATCCATGACGTCGACGAGGACGCTAACCCAGTTTGCTCTACAGAATCGCTGCCTTAACTCAAACCCAAACCCGTAACGACCATTATGCACGCTCTCGTTTGTGTCACTATTTGCACCCCACGGACTACACAGCTCGGATATCCACCCCTCGCATCTCATACCGCATAATGTTTCCTCGTCCATCGTTTCTCACCTGGGTACCCTCTATGTTTCCATATACTCTGGTTCATCTGTATAGTAGCACGCAGCTGTGGGCGAGTTCGTCTCTTCTTTGCATTGATCATGGATTGCGATAGACGGTCTCATGCCGGTTGGGTCACCAACAACAGAGACCGTTGCCAGGTCGAACACAAAGGTTTGCACGAATTCTCGCTACAGGATACAATCTTGTTTACACAGACGTACATCGTACACGGCGCCGCGCCCTCGCCCGCTCAATCCAACGCCCCGTTCCCGTTGCAGTAGTCCACGTTGCCGACGGCGGGGTTGCCCGCCCAGGCGGGGAACGGCCTGGGCACGCCCGAGGCGCCGAAGACGGCGAAGCTGAGGACGAAGACCATGACCTGCGCGCCGCCGTCGAGCGCGCCGCCGAGCACGTAGTTGTACTTCCGGAACCAGGCCGGGTGGTAGCGGCGGAGCCAGAGCTGGGACGCGAGCCCGACGAGCACGGACGCGAACACGGGCGAGTTCGTCCCCGCGGACATCCAGGACGAGTACTGGTAGATGATCGGGAGCACGACCGAGTCCACGCGGAAGCCGCGGATCGTCGGGTAGCGCTGTGCGGGGCGTGCGTGCGGGTGAGTGCGAGTGCATGGGAGGAGGGAGGGGTGGGGAGGGTAGGGAGGGGACGGACCTTGACGATGAGCCACTGGATCGCGGTGGGGATCATGCCGAGCAGGAGGCTGAGCGGGATCCAGAAGTAGGGCCCGCTGGGACCGTAGAGCTCCTTCGCGAGCGACCAGGTCACCGCGGCGCTGTTGAGGGACTGCGGGTACTGGCCGCTGGAGCATCGTGGGTGAGCAGAGGGACAAGCGGCGCGGCAAGGAAGCGGACCTCCAGATGTTCGTGCCGCGGGGCTGGAGGAGGATCTCGCGCTGGGCGTCGACGACGGAGATCATGACGACTGGGGAGGAAAGTCCGAGTGAGATGGGCGCGCGCGGAGCGTGGGGTATGAGTCGGTTTACCGTAGTTCACGATGCGCCTGGATGTGGGATCGGATTAGATTGTTATGTGATGTGTGCATCGTGGGACGTACCGAGGATGGTGCCCCAGATCTGCGTGAGGAACATCACACGAGGCGGGATCTTCAGGTATTGCCCATCTTGAGGTCGCTCGCCAGGTTGATCGACGTACTGACCACGTCGTGGCTCCACATCGAGAACTGCACAAGTCCGACGGGGTGAGATGAGTTCTGGGCTGGCTGGGTGGGACATACGTAGAGGTTCGCGACGGGCTTTCCGGGGTTGACCGCACCGGCGACCATTTCATCAGCTGGTTCGTCGCGATACCGTTGCCCATGCGCGCGAACAGGATCGTCGAGAACGGCGTAATGAATGCTGGTTGTTTGCTCGAGTCAGCGAGAGAAGAGCGAGGTGCACCGGACGGGATTGGTCTCACCTCCACCAGGAGCGCAAGGATGTACGACCACCACGGGAGCGTGGTCTGCCCTTCAGGACGACGATCAGACCTGCGAACCAGCGGACGGCTCAGTCTGGCAACTCGACATCTTCCCGTGGGGACACGTACCGGCGAAAAAGGCGAGGACAACAGGCGCCGTACCAGTACCAGGGAACCTCCTTGTACCTCATGTTGACGATCTGCAAGCGCGGTCTCAGCCCAGCTCGAAACCACGACGACCGAAGGAGATATGGCGCGCCTTCCAGTGCGGGTCCGGCTGCGACTTGTCCCGCGCCTGCTTGAACGACTGCCAGACGGACGGGCCCCAGAAGAAGATGACGTGGGCACGAGGCCACCGATCTGCGAAGGGAGCCCGGCGATGGTCGTCAGCGGGGCCTCGAGAGCGCCAGAACGAGAGGAGCCCTCACCCCGAGGTTTGCCGTCAGGTTCGCCCACGCGTTCGACCCTGACATCAGGAAAAGCGAGCGGAGTCAGTCTATGACTGGAATCGTCGAGATTCGAGGGGGCACGGAACGAACCGGTGAGCGCGGGGAGACCGATCTCCTCGAGCGCGGTCTCGTTGAGGGTGAACGTGGGCCCGAAGACGTAGCGCTGGTTGTACACGGTGCCGTTCTGCGCGAAGAGCGACGTGGAGAGCATCGGGAAGGCCAAGGACTGTTGGCACCACGTCAGCGGCTGACCCGATTGCGCAGCAGGACATGCTCACATTCCACGCGTTGGTATAGTATATGCCCATGATCACGATGTAGCAGATCACGTATCCGACCCAGGAGTTCGCTGTGCGAGTGTGTAGCACGTTGGTCCTCGATAGTGAATAAAGATCGCTGTACCTTGTTGGATCAAAGGAAAGCTCAAGTAGCTGTAGAGGCGCGTCTTCAGTACACATAGCTGGCCCAGAATGTGAGATGCTCACCTAGAACCGATGTACTGCCAGTCCAACGAGATGCTGAGGAGCCCGAGGCCTTCGTTCCCGTCGATACCGCCGAAGAGATTCGTATGACATCCTGCGCGCCGCTCGGAACGTGCTGAGTCGTCAAACAGAATATGTTGATGCCGTTCAGGAGCGGGAAGATGTACGCCGGGAAAATCTCCCAGATGAACATCCCCGTGAAGGACGCCCAAAAGAGCTTAAGGCGCTTCGAGTTTGCCGAGTGTTGAAGTGAAGACCTGAGCGAGGAAGTCAGCGACAGTTATCGGCGGCGTTGGGGCGAATATACTTTGGAAGATGGTGACGGTCGGGAGATTCTGCGCGCGACGTAAGTCGTAAAGACGGGCTTTCAGCGCGAGAAGACTCACGGCCCAGTACACCATCTCGCTTGGGTATACACTTAACGGACGGAGGATGCCCACCAGACCGTATCTGTACCGTTCAAGTGAATAATGAAGGCATCGAAGCAGCAAATGGAGGCACGTACCCAAAGCATGCGGTAGAGAATGTCGCGAGCACGGCGGTAGTCGCCTCTACGTTGGTGTCGTAGTACAGCTGCGCCGACATCAGTTTCTCCTGACAGCTGGGGCGCCGCTCGGAACGTACACGCTGCACGGCAAAATTCATTACAGCGGTGCTTCCGCCGGCGGCAGTAGATGCCACGAGCGAGGCGACCACATGCTGCGAAGGCGTCAGTTTACCGTCTCCGCGAAGGGAAGTCCGTCACACTCGCCTCCTTGATGCGAAAGTCTCCGGGTTGATGAAGTCCAGACGGGCGCGAGGGACGCGATCGCGTGCCTCGACAGACTTGCCGTTGGGAGCCAGCGCGCCCACGCCTTGCCGATGCTGTAGATGATGAGCATGAGGAACACGGTCGAGACCGTCATCTGGATCGGCTTGAAGAGATAGATCTGCAGAAGCGAGGTGTGAGAATCACGTCAGGCGCTCGCCATTCGCGCCATCCTCGACGAGGCGTCTCCGCCCTCGCCACCCGCGTCATGCCGTGCGTGTAAATCGCACAAACGGCACAACGCCGAACCGCACTCACACGGCGGAGAGACACCGTGTGCGCCGCGGCGGTAGACCGGGAGGGCTACTAGTCCGACCCCAGTGATGAGAAATGCCCCCAGTGTTGAGAAATCTGGTCTGGCGGTCTCGTCCCTCGTCCGATAATGTTGAAAATTCACACGCTGGTAGGAACATGTTCTCACTTTCGTTTTCAAAAAGAACGACGTCGTTCCGTGCAGAAACAAGCACGATCTTTCGCAAACATCTCTCAAATGAGAAAAGTCGAAGATTTGATACCCGTCGGCTACGATCCCATGACCAGCGCTTAGGTTGAAGCTGCGTGAGGGGTATTGGATGAAGCGTGGCTGCCCCAATTCGAATTCTCCGGCACGATATCTGTGGGAGGGAGGCGAAAACGCACTTTGGGTCAGTTCAAGCGTGACTTCGGCCACAGAACGTGAGTGAATTTCAGTCTCCGACGTTGTCGTTGGGGAGGATGCTGTCATCCCTGGACGTATCTGACAGCCTAGCCGAGCGGAGTTGATGTCGGCTGCGTGACCCGCACCGTGACTAAGCCTCGGCGAAATTTCTCAACTCTAGGGTCCGCGGCCGGGTCGTCCACTGGGGGCGCAATACGTACCAGTTTCCTTTGAAACTTTGCACACTGATTTCTTATGACACTACCAATATGTGTACGAAATCCGAAGACTATCGCAACAGAGATGGTCGAGACTCTCATGGTTTGATCTTGCGGGCGCTCCCATTTCTCAACTCTGGGGTCATGCTAGTAGCAAGCACGGGTCGGCAGAGCAGGCACTCACCTGACAGAGCGCCGCCCCGAGCCCGGCGAGCACGGTTCCGATGCACAGCGAGCGGAAGGTGAGGGCAGCGTCGCCGTCGTCGCGGGGGTCGATGAGGAAGCGGGAGACGTCGCGGCCGTCGGTGATGACCGGCTCGCCGTTCACGAGCTGGACGGTGCTGTCGCCCTCAAGTTCGTCGTAGAGGGTGCCCGGACCGCCCTCCGCCTTCGCGTCGGCGGAGTCGAACGATGCCGCGGTGTCGGTGCGCCTCCCGAGGATCTTGACGTCTGCCTTCTCGTCGAAGGAGGTGGGGGAAGACGGTGGGGCGTCGTCGACGACCGCGAGGGGCGCGGCGACGAGGGTGGGCAGCTGGCTGACGCCGTCGTGGGGGGCCATTGAAGACGGGCCGACGAGGTGCCTGCAGCGGAGGACGAGTGCCAGACGAAGTTGGGATGGGGGTTCGGTAAAGGCAGCCTGCGTCTTTTAACTTCTTCTTGGAGCAGGTCACCCGAATGGCCCTTTGGCGCCATATGTTGTGTCTTGACATGGCCACCGTCGACGGCATGCAGCTAGGCCTGGGATGGGACGATAAGGTGCGAGCTCCGGGCTTGAGCTACCAGGAACCTTTACTCTGCACGCGATATGCTATCAGCACTAAACCACGGCAGCTCGGTGGAAGCGCGGCAGAAGGAAGGAGCTTACGTGGATCTTCTGGCCGCGAGGTAAGAGACCGATGTAGCGGGAAGCACTGAAGCTGTATTATATGCGCGCTAAGGAACATTGCGTTGCGGCCCGTTACGATTAGAGGACACCTGTATCGCATGTGAACGTTTGAACAAGCATGAGAGTCGAAGGGTGCAATCCGGACACTTGCCACATGGTCTCCCCGGAATGACACTATCGTCTTCTCCCGATTGCCTTATCATGCCGTCATGTAGCCTGTTGAGCGCTGCAGGTGGCCCTTGTCTGTGTGGGAGACAGCTCGAGTCGGCCAAATACCCCCGCGCAAGTTGAATCGGTGCGCTACTTGCGCCATCATGATCATTGAAAGAAATATTGTGCCTCATCTTGAAGCATCGCTGCGTGCTCTGAGCGGAGTTGAATACGCTGGGGTGAGAGCAAAGGAAATCCCTTTATTTCAGCAGGTGAGCCCCAGGCATACGACAGGAAGTAGACAGAACTCAACTCGAAGTCATATGGAGCACGTAGCATATCATCGCTATACCGATCCAGCCCTGGCAATTGTCCCCGAAGTGCACAATGCACAGCTGGTAGGCCGCGATTGGCGAGCATGAGGTCCTTTATGTTATGTGGCGGCGTACCTCGTATCTAGCGTGACTACGAATCATTGAACGCGATTTCTTGTTGATTTCTTGGGACAAGAGGAGGAGTGAAGGAGACGCTCGACTGGTCCGTCTTGGGCATATGTCACGTGTTATCTCCAATGATACCCCGATCAAAACCAGTCGCTAGCCGCTAGGAACTAGTACTTCCTCGCCTCAATATTGCACTGCATCGCAAAGTACGCCAGAGGCGTCATAGGCGTTATCCTACCGACATAACGCACTTTCCGTATGTTCTACATGCCAAATCGACCAACAGGCTCAGCCCTTCTCCAACCAGGCTGCGCCAGCCTAGTTCGCGCCCTCCCCGCAATCAGCGCCTCCGCCTCCGGCTTGATGCTCGCCCACAAGTCCTCCACCGTCCGCGTCGGCGCCCACCCGAGCTGCGACCGCGCCCTGTCCGCCCGCGACCGCGCGTTCGTCCCGTTCGCGAACACGTACGCCTCGTGCTTCGCGAACTCCCCGATGCTCTCCTCCGTCTCGAATTTCACCAGCTCCGCGCTCTCGATCGCCCCGAGCGCGAACAGCGCCTCCGCGACACGCCTCGAGAGGTCCAGCCAGAGGTGCTCCCCGTTCTCGGCGAAGAAGTACCCGTCACGGCCGTGCGTGATCGAGGCAGGGCTCGAGACCAGGCGGCGGAGGATGATCGCGTACAGCGAGGCCACTACCCGTAGCAGGTCGTCATCGTCGTCAGCTGCGAGCGTGGGGAGGGACGGCGGGCACATACGGTCCTCGACGTGGACGTTGTCCCAGATCCCTTGGCCCTCGCCGATGATCCCGACCCGCTTGCGAATCAGCGCATCCCGGATCAGCGCCGGCACTTGCAGCGAGTGCGTGTTCGTCAGCCCTTCTTCGCAGGATCCCTTCCGACTTGCCGTAGATCATCGGCGGGCACACCTAAATGCACGCATGTAGCCTGCACGCGATCGTCAGCTATCTGCACCTACCGGCGGCGACTCGCGATCGCTCACCTTCCTTGTCCGCCTCAAGGAAGAGCAGGTCGACCGGGCGGTGCAGAGCCTCGGCGGGGATCGTGTCTAGTTTGTCGACGTCCAGATCAGAGTAGATGTCGTCCGTGATCAAGTTCCCCAGCTTGCGGCTGAAGTCGACGAGGACCCCGGTGCCAGTCTACAGCCATGTCAATCTCGTCGCGTTGGACTAGGACGGAACACAGCGCCCGCTCACGGTGTGCAAGACGAAGGGGCGGTCCCGAGCTTGGCGTGGCGCGTCTTCATCCCGCCCAGGATCGCCTTCGCCATCTCGACGTCGTCCGCGTTCGCAAAGTTGATCACGACGTGCGCCTGCTCGGACAGCTGTTCGAGCTTGTCGAGCTCCGCGAGCGTCCCGATCGCGGTCTTGACACCGGGGAAGTCCTCCTCGAGCCGCTTGGCCTTGTCGGCGGAGCGGACGTAGAGGGTGAGATCGAGCTTGGGGAGGAGCTCGGGGTCCGCGAGTACGCGGCTGAGGAACGTTCCGCCGACGTAGCCTGCAGAGGATGTGGTCAGTCCCGAAGCCATTCTAGGCTGGTGAAGTGACATCGTACCGGTGGCACCGAGGAAGAGAACAGGGGTCTTGGAGGCAGACATTGTGGAAGGGGAAAGATGCGCGGTGTTGGAGAGTGACTGGGAGGATGAGAGTGGTGGATCTTCATCTACGCTCTTATATTCGCCCGACGCAGCCCCGCCATAACATGGCAAGTGGCGTCCGTGGACGTGTATCTCTGGACGAGGTTCACAAACTGGTCGCGGTGGAGCTGTGCTGACTGAGGAGAGGGAGCGCAGCGCCCGGAGGTTAGACCAGAAAAGGGAAGAGAGCGTGAGGGACGCGCGAGCAGAGACGCGCTCGACGTTGCTGACTGCGCCGTTCGTTTGCAAGCGGCAGCGGTGACAAAGCGGTCCAAGTTGAAAGAAGCGCACAATGGAAACCGTGGGAACTGCACCGTGCCACGTTGCTCACAACCCGAGCACAAGTTCCTATCACCGTTCTGGGAATACAAAGGCCTCCATCATGGTATCAAGTACATTAGATTGGCATGTCCGACGATACTCAAACCGCCTGGGCACCAACTAACCTTCACTTTGTGGCCTAATCTCGCAAGGTGCTCCGTCATCAAGGTGAGATCGAGAGATAACTGAGCAGGAAGAGGTGGAATGGATCGAACACGCGTCTTCTGACTACGAAACCCTGACACTGAGAGCCGCGGCCTGGACGACGGCCGTTTCAGCGCCACTGGCATTGATGCTGCGAGCCTGAGGGTCGTGCCAGGTGCCCAAGCGTCTTGAAAGTGAAGTTAGCGGCGGGGAACACAGACGAGAACTCTAGCCAGGGCACGCACATTTCAGTAGGCATGACGGATTGCCTCCCCAGTGCGGTGGTCGGGATATTGGTAACCTGCGCACACTGCGCGCGCAGGTGCTCGCGCGAGTTTAGGAGGGCGAAGAACGTATTGGTGTATACTGGGGCAGAAGGAGAGGGACGATCAATAACGACTAGGACATCTCATAGCCAAGGTCGTACTCACGTACGCCGACCGCTTGATACAGCGTCATGCAGACGAGCGATTTTGGGTCGACGCTGACCTGAAGGAAAGATGAAGCGGGCACAAGTGAGATTAGAGCAAGGAGGTATGGGAAGTCGCACACACCGCGATCGCTGCGGCTGTGGCAAGGGCACTGATGGTTGACGAAATGTCAGCGCGGAGTCCCTTCTACAACCACGCTGTTTCCACGCACCTAATTACCATCCCACCGGCCACTGAAAACGTGATCTGCAGGTGCGGCTTTGGTGAATCGGACTTCAAAGAAAGAGCGTCACTCACAAGGGTGCTGATGATGCTCCTGGTGCGCCTTCAAGGAGATTGACGTCAGCACACCCAACACATTCCCACAGCTGCATACGTACAAATGCATGGTCGCTTCTCTAGACTTCCACATGAGAATCACGAACGTTGCCGAAAGGGTGATGTCGGTGACCGCAGTGACGACGCTCAGCGCAATAAGCAATGTCTGCGACGAAGTTAGACAGGATGTATACGAACATTACGAGTAACGTGCCGTCATGACTGTCCAGAAGGGAAGAATTGGAGATGTGGCTCTGCGGAAATTTACGCTGAGCAGATGGGCAGCTTTGACAGTCTGTCCGAGTACTTACACGCTATAGATCAAGTCTGATGTTTGGACGGTCAGCACCATGCAATAGTTGTCGCCATAGCAGTAGGTTCACTTACATATCCAAAGAGCTGAGTTGTGGTAACGTAAACAGCTGTGCCTCCCACGCAATGACTTGTGACGACTCACCGAAGCATGCGAACACTAGGGTCAACTGGACCCGATACCGATTAGCTGTGGATGGGTACCACGATCGAATACTCACAAGACCCAGAACGAGGGGCAGTATCTTGCTGACTGGATCATCATATCTATGAGCAGGAGGGGTGATAGAAGCACAGGTACGATACATACACGCCCATATTCTGATCACAAAGAACCTGCAACAGATTTAGAAAATATTATGCGGCATGTCGATCGAAACATACATTTGGATATTGAGCATGCACAGAGCCTACAACTGTGAATTCTCGTCTAAAATTTCCAAATGCGCAGAACACTCACATCTATGACCATCCGCGCCTATTGGGTGGTAAACACCCACGCGAGGAATCCAAAATGACGCAACGCACCGGAGTTGTCCTACCACGAGAGGACGAGTCAGCCGTTTTCGAAAAAGGGCAAGAGTGCGGCGCACCAAGGCTGTGTCTTGATGCGGAACGGATCGCCATGGGAGTTCGGGCCAAAGTTCATGACTGGGTTCGGATTGCCCAGGGTTAGCGGCGTACTGCAAGATCCAGAGCCAACACATACACGAGGTAATTTGCAATCCGAAACGCGTGAAGGTCAAGACGACAGAGAGGAAGACCTGTATGGCTCGGGTGCGTTGGACTTCCCGAAACGAGTTCAGGGGTCTCACAAGGATCTTGATGTACCCTTTCTCTGGCGCGGTGCGGTGCCTGATGTAGAACCCGACCTGTCCCAAAAGGACTTACGAGGTGCATTAGTGGCGCCACGCGCAGTTAGACTGTGCACGTACTCCCATAGAGTCTGACAGACGGACCGGCGCGAATGTCTAGGGGGGTGGTAGTATGAGGACTAATGAGACACTTACATCGATTCCACTGTCAGCTCGATTAATGCAATACCCAGACTAACAGAACCGTCAGCTCCACACGCGTGAAGTTGAAACGACGCACCTTCCATGGGCCTTGATATCAGCGGGAGACGGGGAAGACATGAAGGCAGGCGTGTAGGCTCGTGAGAGCGATGAGAGGGCGAGAGGGCGAGAAGACGAAAGTGATTCGGCATCCCTTCTTAAGGGAGAGACCGGGAAGAGCAAGGGAGAGGGGCCGGGGTAGAATGTGGCCGACGTCGAGCGCCCGTTGGGCTGCGCTGATCCGGAGATGGTTACATGGGCCCCTATGCACGTCGATCTGCCAGATCCCCGTGCACAGGGGAGGGACTCGGCAGTCGCTCAAAACTGAGCGTATTCCGCGGGAGACGGGCGCAGCCTCGCTGGCCACCTACCGCGTAACACCAACAGCGGAGAGAGCTCAGAGCGAGACGGTCGAGCTGCCAGCGCTGAGTCGGAAGCCGCGACGTTGACACGGGCGCAGACATTCCGCGACGTTGGCACGGGCGCGGACATTGCGCGATCAAGTCACGGGCGCTTGCACCATATGGGTCCGGGCGGATGCCTCCTTGTGGATATACGGATACGTCTTAGTCTCCTTTTTAGACGTTGGCCTTCGTTCTCGAGACAGAGCGGAACGCGGGCAATTAATGGGGTTTTGATCGGAGAACGTCGATGCCCATGTTAGACTGCCCGTCACGCTCCAAGTCTACTGGGGACACGCGCGCGGATGGCACTAGTAGCGGCTGGGCACGTCGAGAGCAGCCTGTGCACCTTCCAGCCCATACTTATACTCAATGTGTATCGTGCCGACCGAAGACAGCTTGCTTGGCGATTCTTCCGTGGTCCTCTCATCTGGGTAGTCGCCGCACCGATCGCGGTCTGATCATCCCTTCGATCGTGGTTGCGTCTCCGGTTCGCTCGACTGTGCGCTCGCGCAGAGACTGATGTCGTTGCGCACTTCGAGCACGCGTGAAAGGTGCGCTCGCCATGATGATTTGATGGTAGTTGGCTGCGAATAGTTACATACGATACTCGCAGGGCAAGACATTCTCGTTGCCCTGGTTCAGCTACGCGCGGCTCAAGACGCCATCAAATAAAGCAGCAGGTCGCGCAAACGACATGTACGCCCCTCGAGCATCGGGGCCGTGAGCGGCGAACCCGGGGAAAACGTACTAAAGCCGTCTGCTGCTCGCCCGTCTGCTGCTCCCTCGAGGACATATTTGTGTGCGGGGAGGTTGGCCCCTGCCATCTATCTCACAACCAAATATCCAGAAGAACGTCGGATGCTTACGGACAGGTAGGTCCTGAGGGGGAATTGAAGTTCGTGAGCAAACGACCAGATCTGGCTTTGAGCCTTGCCGCCGTTGCCACCCGGGACTGTCAGCACAATTCCCACGGGGAAGGCATCTGCCGAGCACCCATCAGGCGCTTGCTCTTCCTGCCTTGACCGCTTTGTCACCGCTGCCGCTTGCAAATGAACGCCAGTCAGCAACGTCGAGCGCGTCTCTGCTCGCGCGTCCCTCACGCTCTTCCCTTTTCTGGTCTAACCTCCGGGCGCTGCGCTCCCTCTCCTCAGTCAGCACAGCTCCACCGCGACCAGTCTGCGAGTCTCGTCCAGAGATACACGGTCTCACACTTACCATGTTATGGCGAGGCTGCGTCGGGCGAATATAAGAGCGTAGATGAAGATCCACCACTCTCATCCTCCCAGTCACTCTTCCAACACCGGCATCTCCACCCCACAACCTTTCACAATGTCTGCCTCCAAGACCCCTGTTCTCTTCCTCGGTGCCACCGGTACGATGTCATTTCACCAGCCTAGAATGGCTTCGGGACTGACTGACCACATCCTCTGCAGGCTACGTCGGCGGAACGTTCCTCAGCCGCGTACTCGCGGACCCGAGCTCCTCCCAAGCTCGATCTCACCCTCTACGTCCGCTCCGCCGACAAGGCCAAGCGGCTCGAGGAGGACTTCCCCGGTGTCAAGACCGCGATCGGGACGCTCGCGGAGCTCGACAAGCTCGAACAGCTGTCGAGCAGGCGCACGTCGTGATCAACTTTGCGAACGCGGACGACGTCGAGATGGCGAAGGCGATCCTGGGCGGGATGAAGACGCGCCACGCCAAGCTCGGAGTCCGCCCCTTCGTCTTGCACACCGTGAGCGGGCGCTGTGTTCCGTCCTAGTCCAACGCGACGATATTGACATGCTGTAGACTGGCACCGGGGTCCTCGTCGACTTCAGCCGCAAGCTGGGGAACTTGATCACGGACGACATCTACTCTGATCTCGACGTCGACAAACTAGACACGATCCCCGCCGAGGCTCTGCACCGCCCGGTCGACCTGCTCTTCCTTGAGGCGGACAAGGAAGGTGAGCGATCGCGAGTCGCCGCCGGTAGGTCGCAGACAGCTGACGATCGCGTGGCAGGCTACATGCGTGCCATTCAGGTGTGCCCTCCGATGATCTACGGCAAGTCGGAAGGGATACTCGCGAAGAAGGGCGTGACGAACACGCACTCGCTGCAAGTGCCGGCGCTGATCCGGGACGCGCTGATTCGCAAGCGGGTCGGGATCATCGGCGAGGGCCAGGGGATCTGGGACAACGTCCACGTCGAGGACCGTACGTACCCGCCGTCCCCCTCCTCACGCTCCCAGCTGACGACCCGCTACGGGCAGTGGCCTCGCTCTACGGGATCATCCTCCGCCGCCTGGTCTCGAGCCCTGCCTCGATCACGCACGGCCGTGACGGGTACTTCTTCGCCGAGAACGGGGAGCACCTCTGGCTGGACCTCTCGAGGCGTGTCGCGGAGGCGCTGTTCGCGCTCGGGGCGATCGAGAGCGCGGAGCTGGTGAAGTTCGAGACGGAGGAGAGGATCGGGGAGTTCGCGAAGGACGAGGCGTACGTGTTCGCGAACGGGACGAACGCGCGGTCGCGGGCGGACAGGGCGCGGTCGCAGCTCGGGTGGGCGCCGACGCGGACAGTGGAGGACTTGTGGGCGAGCATCAAGCCGGAGGCGGAAGCGCTGATCGCGGAGAAGGGTGCGAACTAGGCTGGCGCATCTCCTCGTATCTCAATGTGAGACTGCCTTGTGGATGGAGTCTTTGTCGAATGCACTAGAGCCGACTATATACATGGTACTCGTACCGGCGGGCGAAGTGCGACGGAGCACCGTAACGATGTAGATCAAATGCCAGCCGGCCGGATGTGAGAGCGAGCCGTCGCTGGTATGTTTTCCCCTTGAGGAGTGCGCGCTCTCGTACGTCAGAAGTTGTTCTCAGATGAAGGAGGTCGTTTGGGTCTGGACTCGGCTTCCTTACATTGGACCGATATGAGGCCAGAAGCCGCTAACTTGATTGCCCCGTGGATCCTCTCTGTCCGGCGCAGGCTTCTGAGAAGCATTTGAAACGCCTTTGGCTTCTCCTGCCGCAAGGCGGGACCTAATTTTCACGTATATAAATGCCTCAACGCCAACTACGTCCTCGCCCAAAGTATAACAATGCATGGAGTAAGTAAATACTTTGCCGACGCTTAAGTTATTCTTACCCAAGGCTTAGTTCCAAAACGGACATTTGGTTCTATTTGGTCAACGCATGGGCGCCAATCCCATTCCGCCTGCCTAAGCGAGACAGGCGTCTAAGAGAACAATGGCCTCCTCCCCGAGACAATTGACACTCGTCCCCCGCCTTCGGCAAAGGGAGAGCAGAACAATGAAACCATGGCAATCTCCTGACCAGCCGACACGCTTTTCAGCAAGCACCTACCGGCTGCTTGCCCCGCTCTCTCTCCCCTCCTCCTTCCCCACTCCCTCTTACGACGCGTCGACGACTCGACATGTTGTCGAGCATATTCATGACCTCGTTCCTTTTCGGCGCATCCTTTGGTGAGTACGTACGCTACATCGTGTGCATTGCATCTGACGTCGTGTCCACGATGCAGCCGCTTCTTCACCAACTGTAGTTTGCGTTGCCGGTCAATGCCTCCAGGGTACCACCAACACGACCAGTGAGTGCTCTTCCCTCTCTGCGTCCTTCCCCCATGCCGACCATGCAAAGTCGGCGCCACTTTGTCTGCGTCTGGCGCACCCGCCAGTCTCCTCCTCCTGCCCGGACAGTACACGTCGTCGTCAAATCCATCCCTCCTCCACGACACCCTCACGTCCTCCGGCGCCACGATTTCGTCCTCCCCCGGTTTGATGCGAACACCTCCTTGCCCCTCAACTCGCCCTTCAACCCGGAATCGCCGTCTATCCCCAGTCCAAGTACTCGGGCGATGCCTCGTTCACTCAGCTCCCCGGCTCCCCGCTGAACGGCTCCAAGATCTCCGCCGGTCCCTCGCGCTCTCGTCCAACGTCTGGGCCGCGCTCTCTTCTGGGAACAACGACCGGGTGATCTTCTGGGACACCATCCCCGACGTTTCCCAGCTCCCGTCGGGCGCGTCCGCCATCTCCCAGCTCCTCGATCTCCAGTCGTCCGCCTGCTCGCCGCCCTGCGCCGGGGCTGGCGTCTGCTCTGCGTCTGGGACCTGCGAATGCCCTACTGGTTTCAACGGGACCTCCTGCGAAACTTGCAGCAAGGGCTTCTTCGGGCCCAAGTGCCAGGCGTGCCCCGCGAACTGCACGACCTGCGACGACGGCATGACGGGCTCGGGCAGGTGTCTCGAGCCCATCGTCGCGAACGCGCCCTCGAGCTGCAACTGCCAGAACGGCGAATGCCAGTCCAACGGCCAGTGCACCTGTCTCCCTGGGTGGACCACGGCGACCAACGGCACCGCGTGTGCCAAGTGCGCCACCGGCTTCTTCCTGAGCCCGGACGGGAACTGCGAAGGTGCGCCCATCCTCCGGTTGTTTTTCGTGCTCGTTCTCACGTCGAGCGTAGTCTGCGGTCTCGGATGCACCGCGTGCGCGGACGGGAACGGCGAGTGCTTGACCTGCAAGTCCGGCCAGACCCAGAACGCGAACGACCGCACGCAGTGCATCGCCCAGCAGTCGACGACGTCGACGGGCACGGTCTGCCCCGACGGGAGCTTTAGCGACGGCGCCTCCTGCCAGGCGTGCTCTCCGTTGTGCCAGACGTGCTCCGGTGCCTCTTCCAACGACTGCATCGTGTGTGGCGCGGGCAAGTACACCTTGAACGGAACCTGCGTCGGGACGGATGGGAACGGCGTTTGCAGCGGCACGACGTTGGTGGCGGACAACAATAAGCGCGAGTGCGATTGTGAGTGCCCATTGTCTCCCCATGTTGGCGTTGTCCGACCCTGCCCCGCAGCATGCCCTTCCAAGTGCACGAAATGCCAGTTCTCGAGCTTCAACGTTGCGACAACCATCGACCAAGTGCAATGCACGGACTGTCTCCCGGGCTTGTCTTGTCTGGTGGCAAGTGCATCCAGAGCTGCCCCACAGGGACGTTCCTCGATCCGAAGGATAACGTCACTTGCTCAGGTATGACCGAGATCTATTGTTGTATAAATGTCCTCTGACGCCATGTACAGCCTGCGACTCGTCCTGCGGAACTTGCGTCGGATCTTCCACGTTCTGTCTGACGTGCTCGAACAACCAACTCGCGTCGAGCGGCAAGTGCGTCGCGTCGTGCCCATCCAACACTTTCAGTGCCTCCGGCCAATGCGTCACTTGCCACCCCGACTGCGCGACATGCTCCGGTAGCGGGTTCAACCAGTGCTCGAGCTGCCCGTCGGACCGTCCCGTCCTCACCAACGGCCGCTGCCTGCCCACCTGCAGCAAGAACCAGTTCTTCGACACAACCTCGTCCTCGTGCCTGTCTTGCGACTCGAGCTGCTCGAGCTGTTCGGGTCCGGCCCAGCAACTGCCTCGCGTGCTCGAGCAACACCCAAGTCTCCGGAGCGGAACCTGCGTCGCCGCCAACTGCGCGGATTCGACGTCGGTCATCTCCGGGCTGGGTGTCTGCCTCTCTGAGTTGGTCGTCACCGCCCCCGCCACGTCCTCTAGCCCCCCGATCACCGGCATCAACACGCCGACGACGAACACGAACACGACCACAACGCGCCCGCTCCAGTGGTGGGAGATCCTCCTGATGGCGCTCGGTGCGCGTTCATCTTCCTGCCTTCATCTTCTGCTGGCGCCGCCGGCCCGCAAGCGCCGCGCCGCGCAGACCGCCAACTTCGCCGCCGCGAAGCGCCTCCCCCACAAGGGCGACTGGCGGTACCGCCTCGCGCGCTTCGGCGAGCGGCTCTTCGGCCACCGCTCGCAGGGCCGCTGGATGCTCCCCCGCCACCGCCAGGAGGCCGCGCCGCCCCCGGCGTACTACTCGGACGACATCCGGATGGGCAAGGTCAACGAGGCGCGCTACTCGGACTACTCCGACCTCGACCGCGACCGCGACCTCTCCCAGCGGGACATGGACCAGAAGCGCAAGCTCCGGGCCGCCGAGGACGCGCGCCACTCGCGCGACATCGACCGCCTCATCGACGCGTACGGCACCGGCGGCGGCACGAGCTCGCGCGCCAGCTCCGCGCGCGCGCCCTCCCCGCTCCCCTCCCTGCGCTCCCACCGCGACCTCCCGGTGGCCGCAGAGCCGCGCACTCGTCGACGAGTCGATCTACTCGCAGGTGACGGGCCAGCCGCGGCGGACGCCGGAGCCGCGCATGCCGGTGAAGGACCGCGAGGTCGCGCGCGAGCGCGACTGGGACGTCCCCACCGCGCCGGCGAACCGGCTCTCGGCGGGGACGACGTACTCGAGCTGGCTGCTGCCGGAGCGGCCGCGGGAGCAGCGGCCGCCGACGCCGGCGCAGGAGTACGCGCGGACGGTCGCGGCGCAGGCGCAGCAGCCAGCGCCGCGGCTGGACGGGTACACGCGCGGGGCGTACTGGGTGCAGCCGACGCACACGGGCGGGAGCGGGGACAGCGGCGGGTCGCGGAACCCGTTCCTGCGTTGAGCGACCGTGCGTCACGATCGGACTCGAGGGGGCGGTGACCGTTTTCGTTTGGTTACCCTCTCGTCTTGGACTCTGTTTCTTTTTTCTTTTTCTTCTTTTCGACAAGGACACGTACATACCTTGCGCGGCCTCTGGAGCCTCGCGCCGCTTCTCTCCGTCTGTCTCTCCCCGTTGACGTTCCCCGTTCACGACACATTCTACCAGTAGAGTATCTCTCCGTCCCGCGCCGCGTGCGCGCGTGTAATTAGCTCGTGTAGCCATACTCGTCACAGCCTGCTGCGCTTCCGACGTTCAAGCAATCGTATCGCTGTATCATATCCTCGGTGTGTCCCCGGGGGCTGACGACGGTTCGCGTTGTAGGGGGTCCGGACGGTGTTCTCCGGCTCGGAGGAGTTCTTGGCCTGAGTTGATGCGTTGGGCGATGATGGGGCGTGCGCGCCCGCTGTGTCGGAGTTCGGGATGCCGCACCTGGAGAGAAGCTCGTGGATGGCCCGAGAATGTGCTTGGGCGAGGAAGGTGAAGTGGATATTGGGGAGTAGCTGGACTGTGCTGATCCTCGTAGTGGCTCGAGGGAGCTTTGTATGCGCGGTCTGGTGTCAAGTCGCTCGGGCGTGGGGATACCGCAGCTGGACCGAAATGTCTTTTCTTTCATGCGCGTTCATGAAGGTAATACGCCCGAGCGCGCTTTTTGCGTCCCGCAACTCCCTTGAACATAAAACGACTCCTATATTTTTTGGTATAACACGTTTGTCTTACAAAGCATTGATCCCATTCGGGCTTGTTGGGCCTCGTATGTAAGCGTGTGTGCCGTCTTTCCCGTGGGATTGGAACCAACCCTCGCGCTCCCCTCACGCGCATCCTCGAGCACGGAGAACCGGTAGGACGCGTGCCAGAAGTACGGCCGCGCGGGCCCGTAGATCTGGTCGACGCCGAACTCGGGGTTGTTGATCGCGTCCAGGAAGCTCTCCTGCTCGAGCACGACGCAGCTGTGGTTCTCGTACACCGCCGACGCCGCGGGGTCCGTCGCGTTCCCGCCCTGGGCGGCCTTGCGCGGGACCGGGTCCGCGGCGCTGAAGATCCCGTTGCACGAGTATATCTGCAGCGCGGGCTGGTTCGTCACCACCTCGAGCCTGCGGGAGGGGAAAGGAAAGGAAAAGACGGGGGTCAGTCGGGGAGGGCGGGAGGGACGGGGCGGACGCACTTGATGCCGGAGTTGGTGCTCCAGATCGAGAAGGGGGAGGACACGGAGGGGTCCTCGGTGTCGTAGATCCACGCGTTGTCGAAGCCGACGCAGCCTGCGTCGCGCCCCAGGTGAGCACGCCGTCTCGCACGAGTCTCTCCGCCACGGCAAGAGGCAACGCACCGGTGCCACAGTACTGCGCCGCGGCGGTCGCGTTGATCTGGTCCCCGATGCTCGTCGCGGTACGGAAGTCCAAGGGCGTGCCCTCGACCTCGATGAAGCTTCCGTTCGGGATCAGGTTCCCGTCGGTGGCGATGATCTTGGAGGAGTTGATCTGGACGACGTGCCCGCGCAGGTCCTGCGTCTCCTGGTACGCCTCCAGGTTCCAGAACTGGTGCGCGGAGAGCATGATCGGCGTGCGCTGCGTCGCGACCGCGGAGATCGACATGTTGAACACCGAGTCGTTCCCGAGCGTGTACGTCACCTGGCGCGAGTTCCAACGCGTCAGCTCGTCGTCGCGCCGAGCCCGCCGCCCAGCGCAAGAGCACGCACCGTGGTGATGACGGTCCCCGGGAAGCCTTCCGTGCCGTTGACGTCGATGAGCGCGAAGCTGACTTGGTCCGGCCGGTAGTCGATGGCGGTCCAGTTCCGGCGGTCGAAGCCGAAGTCGCCGCCGTGCAGCGAGTTCGTCCCGTTGTGCTCGTTCTCGGGCACGTGGAAGACCTTGCCCGGGCCCGAGGCGTCCTTGGAGATGGGGATGGTGAAGGTGCCGTTGCGGATGCGGTTCGCGTACCGCCCGACGATGGGACCGAAGAAGTTGCGCTCCGTCATGTAGCGCTCCTATATGGACACCGGGGATGTCTTCAGCGGGAAATCGAAAGCACCAGAGGCGGCTCAAACGTACCAGGTCGTCGTAGCCGATGAGGATATCCCTGAACTGCCCGAACTGGATGGTGGCGTTAGCGTTGGAGGATCGCGGGAATGCCGGTGGTAGAGCGCACCTTGTCCTTGACCCGGAAACTCGTCGCGGTCGCGCCGAACGGCATGAACGTGCCCAGCGCAGAGCCATCGGGCGCACTGAGGTTGAACTGCTGCAGCGGCTGCTCGCACCACGCGTCAGCACGCGTCGCGTCGTTCGAAAGCAAAGCAGCACGACTCACGTTGGCGTCGAAGATGCTGGAGTCTGCGAGCTGCGCGCGCGCGCAGCTCGCGAAGAGCGCGGCCACGAGCGTCGTGAGTCCGAGTCCGAAACGTGCCATCCTGTGGGTGTCGTGGGCGGCGTCGGACGCATCCCCACCGCGCGCGCCCCGTCTTATAGCACGGGCGGACGGCCAGGGACGTGGTCGTCACCCAGACCCGCAGTGGTCCCATGACGCGCATGGGGCTGCAGAGCACGGTCCGCGGGCATGTGACCGTGCCGCATACGACACCCGGAACGACCATCAGGGTTGGACGAGCGCGTGGAGGTCACAGGGATGGGGGAAGAAGACCTGGAATGTCGCAAAAGACTCCGCACGGCTGATGGACGCATATGCGGAGGAGGATGGGGCCCGGCGGGAGCGTTGAAGCGCATTTATAGCGCAGAGATGGGAATAGTGCTGGGACCCCGTTTGATGTCGGCACATGGGGTGTGGAGGGAGAGGCACAGAATTACGCAGTCCTTGGAGATCAAGAAAGCTTGTTTTCGTACTTGCAAGAACTTCCTGGCTTTGTATGTCTACGATGCTTCCGAATCGTGACGCCCATAGCAGCGGTGTTACTTATTGAACTTTGAACAGCATGCATTGCGAACCACCTGGCTGTGGACCAACATACCTCGTGGAGTGCAGAGGAATAAGCAAGGCCTGGGAACTCACAGCCAAGGACTCATCTTTCGAGACATGAACTGAAACAACCGTCGCAGTTGTTTGGAGTAGCCAAACAATGACATAAGCAGATGCGTGGCCAAGACGGGCGTCTCGGACGCCCCGAGGGGACCGGAGGGCTGTGGCCCTGGGCGGCGTGTTCCTCGTATATCTCTCTCTCTCTCTCTCCTCAGCCTCTCCGCTAGCCGACCCAATCACGCCTCCGCTGCTTTCAACACCGACCGCGAGCGCACCGCCAGCATAGGCTGTGCCCTCCCCCCGCCGCTCATTTCTCACCGCGCCCGTCTCTTCAACACCATCCACCTTTCGGGCACCCTCTGACTGTCGCACAGACTGACGGCGAACGATGCCCGAAGGCTACGACTACCTCTTCAAGCTCCTTCTCATTGGCGACTCGGGCGTGGGCAAGGTGCGTACACGCGCGTCCTGCGGACTGCGGACTGCCAACACATCGATCTCAGCGACTGACCATCGCTTGCAGTCATGCCTGCTCCTGCGGTTCGCGGAGGACGCGTTCACGGACAGCTACCTGAGCACTATTGGCGTTGATTTCAAAATCCGGACCATCGAGCTCGAGGGGAAGACGATCAAACTGCAGATCGTGAGTGGCCATTCGGTTCTGCCTCGTGCAACGCCCACCCCTCCCCACACCCGTCCCTCGCTGCTCGCACGAGCACAAGTTCAACTCTGGCCTTTTATGCTTTCCTACCCTCTCTGACACGGCTATCTCGTGCAGTGGGACACCGCGGGTCAAGAACGCTTCCGCACCATCGCGGCCGCGTACTACCGCGGCGCGCACGGCATCATCATGGTGTATGATGTCACCGACGGAGGTGCGCGCGTGACCCCTGACACGACGCCCGCGACTAACTGGACGTGTCTGCGCGTAGAGACGTTCTCGAACGTCAAGGGCTGGCTGCAGGAAATCGACCGCTACGCGTCCGAGGGCGTCAAGAAGCTCATCATCGGCAACAAGTCCGACCTCGTCGAGAAAAAGGTCGTCGAGTACTCGATGGCGAAGGTGCGTCGTGCGCCCCTCGTTCTCACGCGAGCATGACACGCTCAAGACGCATGCCTGGGGTTGTGCAGGAGTTCGCGGACCAGCTGTCAATACCGTTCGTCGAGACCTCGGCCAAGAACTCGACGAACGTCGATGAAGCGTTCAGCATGATGGCCAAGACCATCAAAGACGAGTGCGGAGTCCCTCGTTCCTTCTCCGTGAGCCACCCTGATTCACCTCCCCGTCTCCAGTGTCGACAGCCAGCAGCCTGGCGAAGCTGCGGACAAGTCCTCGACCGTCACCCCTGGACGGAGTCTCAATCAAGAAGAGGATTCTGGCGGCTGTGCGTGCTGAACACCGCCCCGTTGTATCGCCTTTCGCCGCCGCCGTTCGCATGTATCGATGCATATTTACTGTCCCCATACATGGATGTGTACCGCTAACGCACTGTTTGCTTCTCTTTAATCCTATATCATATTTGCCCCGTCATCCGACCCCCTCACGTTGCTTCGGCCAAGCAGGTACATGCCAAGTTCACGAAGAAAGTGGCTGACAAACAAGCTGGAGGCGAGAGCAGGACTGATTGATCAGTTTCAGGTACCGAAAATAACGTTGCTCCAACCTCGGAACTGCGCTTCGCACTGGAGACTATGTTGCGGTTGAATGCTACGTAGATAGGCGCAAGGGTGCGCTAATCAAGTGTGCATCCTGCCTTTTCGGTCGACTTCCCAGAGTCCCAAATGCACTCAGTTTGACCATAGTTCCGTACTGAGGCCTGAGGATTCGTGTGCAGCGAATATATCATGTTGACTTGAAGTGGTCCATACATATCTGCACTCCTCGAGCGCCGCCTACGGTCCATGGAGGCAACACTGCAAATACGTCTGCAAGCCTAACTCGAGGACGTCACGAGCACCTACGTCCTGGAGGCTCGTGGAGTAGAAGCGTGTACGGGTAAACAGTCTGTCTGCGACCCCAGTTTACCAGGCATGTAGCAAGCTACGACATATACTAGCCCATGCACCACCCTTCTGCGTATGCTGCCCAGATGTGTCTGGCCGTGAGGTCGGGCTATGCTGCTGTGGCAAGCGGGTACCCTCCCAGTCGCGGACGCACACACGCCCGCAGGGGCGTCGCTCCGAGGCTGGCGGCGGGCGCGGCCCGAGGCGCGTCCCCTCCTCCTCTCCCTCCTGTCCCGCGCAGAGTGGCCAACGCAGGGATATATAACGGCCTGCAAGCGAGCACAAACTTTAGTCCACACAACGTCCCCGAGCCCACCCCCCAAATCCACACCGCGCACCCAAGAACACAAATGTCTCATTCCCACTCCCACCCTCACTCTCACTCCCACTCTCAACCGCACGCGCACGCGCACGGAGAGCACGACTTCACCGCCGCCAACGCCGCCTACTTCGACGAGCAGGCGGACCACGTCGAGGCCGAGCACCCGCACTGGCCCGCGATGGCGGAGAAGGTGGTCACCAAGATGCGCACCGACTGGCCCGGGCTCTTCGACCCCGCGCGCACCCGCGCGCTCGACTTTGCCTGCGGGATCGGTGCGTCGGGTCGTGTCGCTGGTTAGGTTGTCGGTGTTGCGCGAGGCTGACCTGGGCGGCGTAGGTCTCATCT